GTGCTCACAAGTGGTCAACCTTGGAAGACGGGGTAAGACCGGAGTGCCTTTGCCTCGCGGAGCAGAGAAATGAGCATTTCCCGCGGGGAGCGCGTGGCTCCTGAGCCGACTTGGCAGCGACGACCCAGCGGTGACTCCACGACTGGAATCCTCGGATCCTCGACACTTGGTCGCTCTTTCTCCGCACCCACCGCACGAGCCCCCGCAAGCCTGCCTTTATATGTAGAACAGGGCTCACGTGGAAACTGAGATACGCTCTTACGTCAGAGGGGCGAGGACTTATGCTTCCACTGTGGGAACTTCTCCTCTTTCACATTTTTCTCCTGCTTTTTTATTTTATTTCTTTCCGCCGGGACGTGGACGTGGGACGGGCTCCTTCTCCCGGCCTCAGGAAGAACGCCGTATCAACCCCGAGACGTTGCCGTATTTCCGCCCAGAAAAACCGAGTTTACTGGAAAAACTCTCTTTATTTTCCGTCGAGTTTTCCGGACAATTTTCCTTGCAATTTAATCTAAAATATCTGAACGTTTCGTGGAAAAATACGCACGGCTTTCCTCAAAATCACGTGTTTTGTCTGGGGAAATTTGGCGGCTCCTGAACGTTCTTGCGGCGCTCTTCCTCGACACAGCAGTCTTGCCCCCGGGTTGCGGTCACGAGACCGAGACAGGTCGGGTTTTGCATTCTGCCGTCTTAGGTCAAAACCCCGTACGAACCCTCAGACGCTGCCACATTTCCTTCAATAACCAAGTAATTTACTGGGAAAATTCTGAACATTTTTCGTTCAATTTTTCAGACGATTTTGTTCGCAATTTAATCTAACAGGTCTGACAATTTTAGGGGGAAATATGCATGTCTTTCTTCAAGAATGAATATTAAATCGAGGGATATTTGGCAACATTTAAATGCTCGTACAGCGTTCTTCCTTAGGACGACAACATTGGCGGCGGACGCACGCACACACGCACACGCACACGCACAGACTTCATTGACCACCCAGATGACCTATTGTACCATAATTCGCAATAGCCCAACTCCACGATGAGCTGTCTCAAATTTGCCAAGTAGTCGAATGATAAATCTAATCAAATAATTGATTATTTCAAAAAAAAAGAAAAAAAAAAGAGAAAAAAAAGAAAAAAAAGGAAAAAAAGAAAAAAAAGAAAAAAAAGAAAAAAAAGAAAAAAAAAGAAAAAAAAAGAAAAAAAAAGAAAAAAAAGAAAAAGAAAAAAAAGAAAAAGAAGAAAAGAAAAGAAAAAAAAAGAAAAAAAGAAAAAAAAGAAAGAAAAAGAAAAAGAAAAAAAGAAAAGAAAAAAAAAAGAAAGAAAAAGAAAAAGAAAAAAAAGAAAAAGAAAAAGAAAAAAAAGAAAAAGAAAAAAAGAAAAGAAAAAAGAAAAAAAAAGAAAGAAAAAGAAAAAGAAAAAAAAGAAAAAAAAGAAAAAGAAAAAAAAGAAAAAGAAAAAGAAAAGAAAAAAGAAAAAAAAAGAAAGAAAGAAAAAAGAAAAAAGAAAAAAAAAAGTAGTCGAATGAGTCAGTGGCACCCCATTGGACGTATTTCTGCCAAACGGAACTATGTGCATAATCTGATAAAATGATTGATTATTTAAAAAAAAAAAAAAAAAAAAAAAAAAAAAAAAAAAAAAAAAAAAAANTTCTGCCAAACGGAACTATGTGCATCAAGACATGAGCCTTGAGACCCATAAGAATATATGCACAATGGGGCTCACGTCATAATGCACATAGTTCCGTTTGACAGAAATACGTCCAATCGTATTGATTTATTTCCTGAAAGTACGGAGTGAGCTAAGCTCGTGGAAATTTTTGCGGATTTGTTTCAACCCTTAACGGGAAAGGAGCCCCGTTTTGAAACTGCCGAAAACGGGACCCGTTTGAAACGATATTTCTACGGCACTAATGACGTAAGCCAGGCGAGGGAATTTGCCTATACGTTCAACTCATGTGTATTCAAACATCGCCTTCTGCATCAATTAGACTGTGGCTTTTGATTGGTCGGATTTTGAATAGCTTTTTCTCCCCTTGGAAATGATTTATAAAATCTGTTTTGATGAACTTTTTGATTTCTTCACAAAATTTTACGTACGAACGAGTATATAATACAGCCCTGCAAAAATTCCCCATCATTGACCCATTTCCGCGAAGTGTTTCGCGCACATATATAATTTAACATAAGGAAACATATGGAGGCAGGCTGCTCGAAATGAGGATCAGAGCTCGAAAACTGAGCGAAATGGTTTTCTTTTACGGCACATACATTGGAAAAAAATGGGTGGTAAATGACTTCTTACTTGGAAAATTTAGTTGTTTTTCCTAAATCGTCGTTAAAGTCTTCGGGCTGACAACCGTTTTTGCGGTAGGAATGCGCGCGGCGGAATTCGAGGAAAAAGCATTTTGGTCCACCTTTCAAAAAAGGATTGAAAATTCAAGATTGAATACAAAGGACCGTTCAGTGCAAGAAATTTTATTTTACTCAACAGCACACTAAGACATAAAGACCAAAAAAACCCAGGAATTTTTTGACGCAGAAATGAGTAGATGCAGATGAAATACGGAAATCAGAATTTCCAATAAATTGATGGGCTTGGAGGACAAGGCGCATAACGATGGTGAAACTACCAAACCACGTATCTCGGTTTGCGACGTCGCAGACTTCCTGTCATACTTTATTTTTTAAATGAAAAACTACTATATGCCCAGTCTTGAGAATTTTTGTGATTTTTCCTCTTTGTGCGAAGAAAATTCTGTGAAAATTTCAAGGAATGATATTGATTTGGTCTATTTCAAAAAAATAAAATGTGAGCGTAGATTTTTAGACACCGCAAACGAGATACGAGGTTTGGTAATTTCACCGTCGATAAGTGGAATTTCTGAAGAAAAATTCAGATATTAATGATTTCAATCAAAACTAGCCTTAAAATATATTCTGTGAAAAATTCACTTCTGAAATCCCATTTCCAAGCATCAAGAAGCGAGTTTGAACTTTCTTTCCGCCAAGAAGCTCCTTGTTCCAAGTCATTTTGAAACTCTAAACACCTCTTCTGCCGTGCTAGGGAAGAACGCCGTATGAACATTCGAGAGTTGCCAAATTTTCCTTGATAAAGCATGTAGTTTTGACAATATTCGTGCATATTTTTCCTTGAAATTTTCAGATATTTTAGATTAAATTGCGTACAAAATTGTCTGAAAATTTTGGAAATAATATTCAGAATTTTTCCCAGTAAATTCGGTTTTTATCGAAGGAAACTCGGCAACGTCTAAAGACTCATACGGCGTTCCTCCTTAGCACGGTAGTATCCCTTCAAACAGCAAAAACTGCCTTAATGGGCCCTGTCTTCCAAGCCCCTCAACCCATCTCTTACCCNGGGGGGGGGGGGGGGGGGGGCGTTAGTTAGTTTAAAGCGGCGCGGCATCACTGTAAACTCAGCGCTTAACAGGCAGCTCAACTGATGCTTTCAGTCAAGTTCGTAACGCGGTATGCTCTCCACCCACACATAGTTGCCCACCTGCATCATAAAATGTATACCACTGGAAATGATCCCCTCGGTAAAATGTCTGTAATTCTTTGAAAGCCGGCAGTATTCTTCTCATCCGCCTCTACTTTCGCTCCTTCTTTTTTTTCTTTTTCCCAACTTCCAGTCTTAACTGCTCTAACTACCTGTATCTAATAAACTCATTTCTCTTCCATTCCTCACCCCCCCCCCCCCCCCCCNTCGTAGGAGGCATTGATCGTGGACTCAGCGATGTTGTGAGCCGCCCGCATTATTCCTCGTAATCGATGAGCACATCATCGGTGACCTCGCCGATGTCAGGTCGTTCTATGCTTCCTTTGGATGCTCAGCTTTCTGAGTGGACTGAAAAAGGTCGATGAAAAACGTAAACTCCGGAAGTCGTAGATCCGAATGAATTTGCGATCATCAATAGCTCCTTTGCGGATACGCAAGTTGCGCATTTGAATGTGTATCGTTGCAAGTACATTACTTTTGCTAATTAAAGCCAGGGTTGCCACAGTCAGGGAAAACCGGGAAATGTCAGGGAAAATGACAAAAATGTCAGGGAAAATTTATTAATCACCGATTTGCTTTCTAGAATAGGTTTGAGGCTACGAACAACAAATTTTGCCCGAAAACTATTTTCAATTATGCCTTCTTAACCATCTGTCACATCTTCAATTGTCAGAGTATTCCGCCAAAATGTGTCAGGGAAATGTCAGGGAATTTTATTTTCTAAATTCTGTGGCAACCCTGTAAAGCCTTCATCAATGGACCCTTAGACAAGGTGCGATTTAATTCAAGCTTTACGATGTATATTTCTCGTCAAAATTTTAAAACACGAGCATACTGTCGCCGCCTTTGACTAAACGCCTTCAATTTTGACGAGTAGGCAATTTCTTGACTTAGGAGCACGTAGATTTGTATCCATTTCGCCGTGCCGTTTCGCCAGTCGCACGGAATCAAAGTGTTTCATGATGGTGTCAAGCTCCATGTCCATGTTTGAAGACAAAGTCTACTATTTTCTAAGATATGATTACTATTTCGGCATTTTCACTGCTCTTCGAACCTGTGGGTTCGTCAAGTTCAGTGAAATTTGCTCTATCAGTGAAATCATTCCGTTTGAGACTCGATACTTAAAACTAGGGCATACTGTCACTGAGTTTGACTGAACGCCTTCAATTTTGACGAGTAGGCAGTTTCTTGACCAAGGAGCACGTAGATTTGTATCCATTTCGCCGTGCCGTTTCGCCAGTCGATAAGGGTAAAAGGGGTTGGAATTGTAAACTCGTAATCACTAGTTTTGTACATCCTTGTTTAATCTTTAAAATACGTTAGCTCCGTTTGTTTTGCGACAGAAACACAGAGACTTTTGCGGTTGATAGATTCTTGAGTACTCGCATTCTCTATTATAATCCTTTTGAAAATGAGGAGCTGGAAGAAAGTAAACAACGATTCTGTATTACAATTTATGTGTTTTTCATATTTCTGTTTCAGGAAACTGGGCTTGGACCTTGTTCCAAGATGTGAGGTGGAACAAGTTGACCCTGCTACCATGAGTATAGTCGAGTTATATCATGTTGTAAGTTATTTCCTCCTGCTTTTTTATTTCAACCTACTTTTGACCGTTCACAAGAGAAGAGACTTTTAGTACGAGGTGGAAAATTTTTCAAGGACGACGTTTTCGTCCAGTTGGATGTAAAAGATTGAAATTTGAGTTTTCTAGCATTGAAAAATACTTCTTATCGTAACAAATGATCAGCTGTTAGGTTCATTTTTGTTGCGCCAAAAGAGGGCGCAAATTTATATCCTGAAAAATTATCTAACGATTCCGAGTTTTGAATATTACAAATTAAAATGATGAGAATTGATAGCAATTCTCAAAGCTACTATTGTTATGAACACTGTCTTAGCTCCAGTTTGGTTTAAAATTTTTGGTATTTTGCTCCCAAGATGTTCGCAAAATATTCCTCAAAGAAATGACACCAACATAGGGATCGTAACGGATACCATGCAGACTGTCAAGCAATATTTTCTCCCTCCCAAGTAGCGATGATCGCGATAAGTTGCGATTTGATCGATGAATGTATCGCGATTTTATCAACGTTTATTAATTGCAATATAATCTGATAAAAAATTACGCATAAAGCAATAAAATCGCGATTTTATCGGTAGCGATTTACAGCAACATTACCGAACAAAAAATCGTGATGAATTGAGATGAAATTCCGATTTTATCGAACGTGAATTTATAAAGATAAAATTGCAACAAGATGGAGGATAATCGCTCAGATGTCTACGATCCTAGCGATTTTATCGCCAAAAAATTGTAAAAAAGTCGCTACTTATTCTCGAAATATCGCGATTGTTCCGCTATAAAATGCTTCTGAGGTAGAATCTCCATTTTCTTCGCACAGAGAAGAAAAATGACGGTAGTTTTTAAGAATTACCGTGTAGTTTTCCCTTTGAAAAATCAAGTACATTCTTTATTTTTCGTTTTGTGACAGTGTAGACCAGGGCCGGATTAAGGGGGTGGCCACATGGGCCGCGGCCCATTTCGGCAAAAGAGGGCGGCAAATTTTTTAATTTTTTTATATGTATAGATATAAAAAAACGGGATTCAGAAAAAAAAATTATCAATGAGAAAAGGGGACAAAATCTCTCTTTCCTGAGAGTATAGTAATTTCTAATTCTCTTGTGTTTCGGTGATACAAGAGACAGCATCTTTAATTAGTCGAGTTGAGAGAGGGACTAAACACGCAATTTGGCCTGGAGCTCAGCGCAGAGAGGAATGATGACGAGGACTTGAGGTGAAAAGGAAAAGCCTTCGGCGCGGCGGTCGGCAGGTAACACATATTAGCGCCTACAAGATTGCATGAATACTTCACGCATTGCGTCAGACACAGTGCGGTTAGCAGCGGTCGGCGTGAAACGCACAGCGCCTACAAGACTATAGGAAAACTTCCCGCATTGCGCCAATTACAGTGCGGTCAGCGCGGAGCGGCGGCGGAAGTTAAAATTATTAAACCACATTTATGTTTGTTCTTTCTTAATTTTTTCGTTCAATGCTTATAAATGGAAGGCCTTGTCCATAAAGAGATAGGTTTACGGGACTTAACTTTAGCGCAAAGCTCCGTGAACTTTTGCTAGTAGTGTTGACAGGGCTTTCGCAAAAAATGTGTCTAACACAAGTAAACTCGTTTTATGCACCCCGCTACCTCCGGCACGTTCACTTGATGGTTTTATTGATGTTTCAAAACGAATGAGAAGGGGGCGGCAAAATACAGGCGGCCCATGGGCGGCAAGTAGGTAAATCCGGCCCCGGTGTAGGTAAAACCGTCGTAAAACGAGATACATATATAACTCCCAAAAGAACAAAGCAAGTTCTTGTATAATTAAGTGTATTCCATTTGTCTTTAAAATTTTCTTTAAAATGTTATTTTTTTTTTTGTTTCCAGCATATTCAAAGTTCCGAAAGTACTCAGGGAATTTCGGTAAGCTATTTCTCTTTTTTAATTTCCCTTTCCGTTGAAGAGAACCAATTGAAAATTTGTTCAAATTTCCATATGAAACTTTTTCTTCAAAGGATCCACACGAAGTCTCATGCAGCCAGTAAGGGAGAGTTCATAAATTATGTAACTCTCAAGGGGGGAGAGAGGGTGTGAGCTTGCATTACGCTGCGTTACCGTATCTCTAGCGGTAAAAAACACAAAATCCAAAATGTACATATCATCCTCATTTCTTTGACGCGATTCGTCACACTTTGAATTTGAGGAGCATGGAGGACAAGGCGCATAAGTGAAGTTTTTACTATTTTAAGAAATGCTGATTTGAAGTTTCAAAATAACACGGATCCTTATGGCGGAAAGAAAATTCAAACTGACTTTTTGATGCTTAAAAATTGAAATTTGAGAGCTAACTTTTGACAGAATATGTATTTTTACTAGACTAGTTTTACTTGAAATCATGAATATCTGGATTTTTTCGAAAACTGCTCTTGTGCGCCTTGTCCTCCAAGCCCCTGCTCGGTTTTATCCAGCTATTCGAACGTATTTCTGCCAAACGGAACTATATGCATTATGACGTGAGCCCTGTTATGCATAAACCCTTATGGATCTGAGAGCTCATGTTTTAATGCACATACTTCTGTTTGACAGAAATACGTCCATGTACCCAACAGTTCCCGCACTTTTAGGGATTTTTAAGGGCTTAATTTATGAACGCTCCCTCATTTATTACATGTCTTATCTATAAAACTTCCCAGACCATGAAATATTTATAGGTAAATATTTATGTAAGTACCAATAATTGATAATGAATCAATACTCTCAACTGCACTGTTTGAAAATCTCTGCTTACTTTTAACTCTCTCTTTTAAACAAAAAATGAATTCTCAGGGACAATGGAAAATCTCAGCAAGTTTATTTCTTGACATCAGCATGGTTTCAAATGAAGTTAGATCCTCTGCCAACTTCCTGACTGAGTTATTCCGAACTAATCAGTTTTTCAACTCCTCTAAAAATATTTGTCATGTTATTGGTGATTGACTTTCTTTTTCTTCAATTGTTTCAGGCTCGTGGGACGATCAGAAGGAGAGAAGTAGATAAAGTTTTAACTCATCATCTCTATTTGTGTATGAGAGATTTTGGACATTACATTGGTGAAGATACAGAAGTCTATTTTTCTCTGTACGATGCAAAAAAGATGAAATTTATTAGGTACACCCCATTGTACTAGTCTTATTCAAAGTTGAATGTTTTAACTAAACCATTAAGATCAAAATTTAAATGATACCTCGCATTGATAAGCTCCTTTTTTTTCATTTAACTTCAGGATTTAATTAAATGTCATGAAGGTCAGTTGTACCTTTTTGCACGGTTGCAGAAACTTCTTAATTTGCAACTGGTCAGATTGCGTGGTCTCCCAAGAGAACAAGGAAAATGGCGAAATCCTGCTAGATTGTTTCGAAATCTCCATTTCTACAGCATTTTAGCCATTGAAAATTCCAATGGGGAAGGGGGAGGGTGGAGGATTCTCTTTTTTTATCGTCTTCATAAAAATGAGGGATTGTTCATTAATTTCGGAGGAGGGCTTAGAAATTCTTGCATAATTGCCTATTTGCTGTAAATTCGAATTAATTACTTCTCACACTTGCCACTGGGCGATACACAAATGTGAGGATCTAAGATTTTTTTCAAGAACTTTCTTTTCAGATGCATCTACTGCCCATTAAAACTTTCCTCCATGTAGGGGTGCAGAGAAATTTTACTTCTTAACTCAAGTGGGATCCTAGGAATTAATTTCTGAGCTTTACCTCATTTTCAAAGATTTTTATGGAAAGGTGAAAAGTACGCTGTGCTGTGACTGGAAACTGATCTATTATTCAGAATGATTGAACCCCTCAAAACAGAAAAACTATTGGCTGATACAAAACGAATCAATTTTGCAGCTTTTGCATTTTAATCAATTATGCAATAAAACAATAGAATTGCTGCTGACATTCTGCAATCTCACATTTACTGCACACCTATCCTCTTTTAAATGCAGACTTGGTTGTGGAGGTCTGTCGATAACTTGTTTAATTGTTTTTGACCAACAGAAACGCCATTCCTACTTTTTACATAAAATTTGGCACTTACCAGATTTTTTAACCTCCACTTAAATTATACTCAGGAATTCGTGAATTTTCAGTATATCGTAGATGAAGTTGTAGAGACTGGATTCAGCTTCATGTAATCTCACTGAGCCCTCTAACATCTTTCATTAGCATTATCTTGTGCTCTTGTAAACTTTATTGTAAGGTCTTCTTCCTCTTTTTTGTTTCAGTGAACGTTTTCTAGTCAAAATATCTAAAGAAGGATTTTCAAATTACATTGAAAAGCTAAATAGTAATTGCACAATATTTATAGTAAGTATAAAATGCTCTTATACTTGTTTTGTTGTCTTTTTTTTTTTGGTTTTGTATCTGAAACTTTAGTAATGAATCTTATAAAACTCATCAATTACTATTCTTGCCATGAAGAGTAAACTGGTTATCGAAGGAAAGGGGCGTTTGCTTCTTAAGAATGGCTGCGCAGTTTTTATTTTATATTTACTAGATGCCTCATCAGAGAGTCATGAAGGCCTCAAATTAGATGACTGAAGTCAGTAAATATGAATCTTTGATTGCAACATTACAAATCACTGCTAACGTTTTATTTCATTATATGAGAACTTATCAACAATTCCTCTTGAAATTTTCTCTGAATTTTCTTCACTCATCTTAAAATATTTACAAAAAATTTATAGGAGGTATTTCGTTAGTTTTCTTTTTCCTTAAAAAAGAAAGAAAGTAGTAGTAGTAGTAAATTAATTTTATTTTAAAGCGGTGCTTACCGAAAGAAAGAAAGAAAGAAAGAAAGAAAGAAAGAAAGAAAATAAATTATCAAAGATTTTCAAATGCAGCAATAGCATGATCTATTTATCTGAAAGAGAGAGAGAAAAATGAATTAATTAAGTATCTTATCTTATTATCTTTAGTTATTCTCATCTTATTCCTTATTAATGTATTATTAATTTCTTATTTCTTAATTTAAAATTAATTAATTAATTTCCACAATTACAAAATATGAATGAGAATCAAATGTAGGCAATTGTTGCAAGCAACCTCAAAAAAATGCGTTTCCGAAAAATCTGAAACGCATCTGGAGAATCTGTGTTTCAGAAAAATATGGATACTTTTTATCTTACAGGATCTTGGAAACAGTGATCTTACTAAAGATACATTCATTGTTGCTCATGTGATGCGAGTGGGCAAGATGCTTTATTCAGATTCTTCGAAGAAATCATCAACATCCACCCTCAGTCATTCCTCTGGCTCGGGATTCAAGCGACCAAATGGTGTAGCAGTATTGAACATCGGGGATATGGTCACATCCAGTAATGAAGAGAAAGAGTTCACGTTCAAAGTACACACATGTGAAGAAAAGGACTTCTACCAACTTCACGAGTTCATCATCAAGAAGCAAACGAATAAATTTAATGTTTTACCCGGTCAGCCCAACTATGGTAAGTGAAGTAGGCACATAAATTCCAAGTCTTGTACTTTACATTTTCTTTCTCAGACCTTTCTCAACACAAAATAAAGAGGAAAATTAAAATCTGTCTTAGTTTTTTTTATACATTTTTTTACCCTTTGATTACTTTGTAAGGTGCTAGTCTGTAGCCCTTTTTTTCATCCTATAAAAACACCTTAGAATATTTGGTTATTGTTTGGTTTCAGGTATCGATGTGTCTTTAAGATTATTACATGGAGAGTTGAATCAAGTTCGGGAGGAAAACCCCCTCCTCTTCAAAAGTATTTCTCTGTCCCGTAAATTAGGTTTTCCCGACGTCATAATGCCTGGCGATGTTCGGTAAGTACCTTTACTTTGGAAATTTTTTTGCGAGAGTGATGACAGATTTTTGAGTGACTTCAAAATGAGGATCTTGATTGGTGTTTGTAAAGACCTATCAATATTTTTCAATGAGGATTTTGAGTGTTAGTTGTAAAGTAATAGTAAATTATGTCCAGTTTAATGCCTCGTTACTCATTCAGCACCAATATGGAACATTATATTAAGCGGACCAAAATAAAACCATCTTGGCAAATATAAAAATTGCCTCATGGCAAAAAGCTGAAGAGCAAAAGCATATTGCTGAAAAAGCATTTTCTATGCTTCTAGATTCACCCTGAATTTTTCAATTTTGGACTGCTCATTTTGCCAAATATGTCAATTTAGCAACATTGCTTGTAAACAAAGATTGAGAAAGTCTATGTAGTTATTTGAAAAAAAATTCCAGATGGTGATTTCATTTTAAGGAAGCCCAACATTGTGTCCTTGAAGCCCCGACCCTAGTCCCCCCCCCTCCCCGTCCACCCAAAATTGTCAAATAAACTCTCTTCTACCACCTGATTTTTAGTATGTTGAAAATTGAATGTTCATTCTCACACAACTTACTATGAAAGTTTGTTTTGTTCTTTTCAGAAATGATCTATATTTAACTTTGGAGCGAGGCGAATTTGAGAAGGGTGGAAAGTCAACAGGGAAGAACATTGAAGTTACAGTTTTAGTCCTAGACTCAGAAGGTCAACGTATTCCGGTAAATGTTTACTTATTATGTATCTTACATCTGTACTTAGAAAGTTTTATCAATCAATACTTAATTTCTTTTTTCCTCTCATTTTTCTGTATCCAACCTTTGCGCTTTTTTCTTTTGGCTGCTTCCTCCTCTCACTCATTTGAAACAATCAACAAACAGAAGGCCTGAAATGAGAGGCTGTATAACTGTCACATCACAATGAAGGACCATGTTTTTAGATACCACGTTGCGAGGTATCCGATTGGTTTCTTCACTATTCGCGCACCAAGTGAAAAGCATTTGAAATAGTAATAATTCTTTAAAATCTGGGAGAGCGAAAAGTTAACGTTAATTTTTTGGAGAGCAGATTTAGAAGAATGACACTGGAAGTCTGTTGAGAGAGCACGACACACTTTATTCACAACACCGGATTACAAAAAGATGGGAATATTGCACTTGGTAAAATATAACGTAGAATGACTTGCGAGAGCTTAAGAGAGGACTTGTAGTCTTAGCTTAGATGGTCAAAGCAAAGTTAAATTCCTGGAGCCAAAAAAAGGCTCTGTAGCCTGGAAACTTTAACTCTTAGGCAGTATTGCATTAGCCATCCGGTGCACAGATAAAAAAGGTGTTAAATAAAGGAGATGGTGCGTCTGATTGTGTACAAGCATTGGCTGAAGGCCTAGAATGCTTGACAAATTGGAACTTAGAAAGAGACAGAAGAAATTAGGGAGAAAAAAAATAGATTAAAGACCGTCTCAGAGTAAATTTGGAAGAAAACGTTGTGTAACAAGCGACAATAATGAAGTTCAGAGAGCTGTAAACCTTTAAGTTAAAATCGGAACCAAAACTACTGCAAATAGCTAAGTGAAATTATTCATACTGACTCTTGCTGTAAATTATCTTACCTGGTTTTTTATTATTTCAAGGTACCACCATCAAATTGTCTTGACTGTCAGACTCACTGTTAGACTACCTGTGGAACACCTATTGACAGTGAAACTACTATACCATGTATCTTGGTTTGAAAAATTGCAGACCTCCTATCATATTTGATTTTTTAAATGCAAAACCACTCAGCGCCAATACTTGAAAACTCCTGTGATTTTTTTTCTGTTTGAAGAAAACTCTGTGGAAACATTAAGGAGTGATATTGATTTGTTCTCCTCTAAAGAAATAAAATGGAAGAAGAGATTTTCAAACACTACAAACGAAATATGTGGTCCGGTAGTTTCACCACTGTTGTCTTGTGCTACGAAAACTCTGTTGGTTTACATCACTTGATTTTTGTCATAGCCACTTTTATCTTTTTGGGGGTTTTTTGTAGCAATGTTTCTTTATTTTTTCCACCTAGAACACATTATGGGGTGCTAGTGGAGTTGATGGGAGCAGTGAATATCAGTCCATGATCATTTACCATCACAATTCACCTGCTTGGTTTGAAACAATTCGGCTTACAGTCCCAATTGAAAAGTATCAAAATGCTCATGTCCGACTAGAATACAAACATTGCTCAAGTAAGTCCAATTTCCAAAATTTTTTAATTATTGTTTCATTTCTGAATAGACTACTAGACAAGGTGCGAACTTAAGCAGCATGATTTAAGTTTTCTCATCAAAATTTCACGAAGAATTAGATTTGTGCCACAAAAATTACTGATTTAAACTCCTAACAAAGACATTAATGTTTTTCGATACGTGAATTTGAACTCGGTGCACGTAGAAAAAAGAATGGTAAGTTGCAAACTAAACGTTAGCGTGACAGTCCCTGTGGTAAATAAATATGACAGCCTAATCTCAGCGCTTTGGCTCAGCTATTGCATATTTTTTAGACTTTGAACAGCACATGATGAGGAAAGGGCACTTTTCAATTTAAAAGCCTACAAAAACTGTTGTAATGTGGAATTTGATTCAAGCAGACTCTCGCTTTTCTTGTGAGCAAGAAATTCAGATTTATTGTATCCAATGATAAATATAAACGTTATTTTCCTCATTTGAAGAGAATATCAGTTGTTTTCGTTGTGCAAATTATAATCTATGAGAAATTTTTGGAGGAAGAAACATATATCGAAAGGCTTAAATTTTTACCCTGTCAAGTAGTCCATTGTTTTATGTGAATGAAATACGAAAATGCTCAGGGAAAAAACTGTGCATCAAGTAGTCAGATATCTTAGTACAGAGACTTGAAAATTGTCCTCACTAGTTCAGATTTTTTTCTGAATACACAATTTTTAGTTGTTTGTACATTATGTTTAAATGTATGTCCAATGAAAGCCCTTGGAGAAAGCTTAACTTGCTCTACTCACGAAGAGTAGAAGTAAATGCCCCTCTAAACCTTTTAACATAAGCTGAGTGAATGTTCCCAGCCTATTTCTCAGCCTCGGATCATACCTGAATTCTTGATTAACTTGATTTAGTCATTTTCATGAAATTATTTTATGTATTTTTCAAATTTCTGTTCTGTTTTTTACAGCAAGAGATAAGACTGATAATAAAAAATTGTTTGGGTTTTCATTTGCCCGGCTCATGGAACCTAGTGGTGCTACTTTACAAGTAAGTCCCTCAGTGCAAATCTTTTGTTATGAAAGTATACCTATTTTAATTTTAAATTCAAAAATGTAACTATATATTAAATGGTTCATTCAAATATTTTATTACTTTCTTTCAAAGCTTACTTCTGCTTTTAGTTCCCGAATTGAAAATTTATAAAATTCTTTCGCATTAATCATTCATTATGGGTCAAAAGAAAAAACCACTTGTAGTCCAAAGAATCGTTTTCCCTCCCTGTCGTTTTTTCCTATTGAAGGAGGCATGACTCTTGATACCTCAGAAATTTTGTGAAGAATTTTTAAGACACCAAAAACTCCCAGAAATGAACTTCTCTTACCCTGCTCCCCCTCTCCCTTGTAAAAAGCCTTCTCGAAGGAGTCATCAGCTCCTGTAAACAAGCTCTCTTTCCCTCTTAATGTTGATATCCTCGTATGCGCATGTAATTCAAGTTCTAAATACCTTTCAATTCTTCGTTATGGTTGTTTAGTAGCCCATTTTCTTACTCATGTCTAATGTATTTTTAGAGCACCTCGTCTCAAAGTTGATTGTAATTCCCAATCAATTTTCTTTAATAATGTCTTTATGGTGCACCAAATATTATTCAATCATGAACAAGCTGTGATTTGATTAATTTTTTTTTCTTTTAGGATGGATCTCATGAGCTTTTCGTGTTTCGTTGCTACGAGAAGAGCAAACTTGACCCTTCGTTGTACCTTGGATTAGCTTCGGGACCTAATGACCCTGTCGGCAAATGTGATGGAACCGTATTTTCTGTTAGTCATAAAGAGATGGTTTATATTCGTACCCTTCTCTGCTCCACTAAACTCACTCAAAATGGTAAATTATTGAAGTGATTCTTTCATTTAGTGTTGAGGGCCAGATTTTCCATTTTTTTAAGTTTTTTAAAAATAAAGCCACTTTTGGTATCTATGCTAGGTTTAATTATTTCACAGAGTAAGGTATTTCTATGTACCTATTTTAAATCTAGAAATCGATTTTTTCAAGATAAAAATCGAATTTTTGAAATCGAGTTTTGCAAGATAAAAATCGATTTTTGCAGTAATATGAAAGCATAAAACGTTATTTTTTTTTTTGTATATCTCGAGCCTGCGGTAACTCTTAGAGTGAAATAATTATGCAGGCTTGCACTGGAAGGAACACTGGGGATTCAACAGACAACTTAAGAGTATTTTAGGGTTGAATCCAAACATTACCTTGGTTTTTTTTTATTATGCATCATTTTTCTGAAAAATAAATTTTCCGTAGATAAATAAATAAGTTTGCTATTTGAATAAAATCCCCACTTTCCGAAAAACTGGTGATTGTATGGGATGAACCAGGGATATTCTCAAACTCAGCGCTAAAAATTATTCAGGAATTTTTCAGGATGAGGCCATGCAAACCAACGTTTTTCATGTAAAATATTGCACGAATTGGTGTTGAATTACACCTAATTAATTCTATTCTTGCATAAATCAATTCTAGAATTTAAAATAATTAAGAATACCTTTGATTGTCAAAGTTAGCTTGTAGCTGTAGCACATATGCCTGAAGATCAAATGTAGTATTCTGACTAGTGGTGAGAGCCGCTAAATGGGCGAGCCGGCCGCATGCTTGAAATCTATGATCTGTGTGGCTAATGGGAGCGGAGTGACGTGTGAGGAGACAAATTTTATGTATAGGCACCGCATTTGACACGTGGTGCAGTAGTGTTGCTTGACGTCACACATAGATGTCAAGAGAGATTTCATTTTTAAAAAAACCTAAAAAATTGGATAATCCAGCCCTTAAAACTACAACCCTCATTTTTACAATGAAGTTCAAGTAATGGCCTAAAAAAATTTGCCAATTCTGGCACCTATCGACAATATTGGGGCCCTAGCCATTCGCAGATTACCAAAAAAAATTGCCTTCGACCCACTCTTTCTGCAGTTCATTCAAGGAAAACATGTTTTAAAAAATCAGTAGATTTAGTACCAGATTGTTTTGCACGGATGTTTCTTTAAATTTCATTCAAGATGTCTAGAAAAAAATCTGCAAAAAAATGTTTTTGAAAAAAAAAAAAAATCCATCAGGCTCTGCTTCAAAGAAAACTACTGGCCAAGCAGAGAATTGCTAAACTTTTTAAACTGGGACAATATCTGGCTGTGTTTTCGAAATTCAATTTTAACTGTGGGCAAAGACCGCACTACAGTACTAAGTTGAAGCATCCAAAGCAATTTTTAGTCGGACTTCGTCGTCAGGTTCTGCCTCTTAAATGAGTGTGTAATTAGCAACAAATTTCAAATTCCCGCAATTTCAAATTATTTTCAAGAAATCTACTGAAACTTGAGCTTTGCCATTAGCTGTGTGGCTCCTCGACCTTCCTTTACAATTTTATTCGAAGCAGCCGGATGCCTTGCTGAAGACCAAGACAAGCTTTGCTCTTTCCCATCAATCGTCTTTCCATTCTACAGTTGATCTGCTGTATTTACTGCAATGGAAGCAACATCCAGAGAGAATCCAGGAAGCCTTGAAACGAGCTTTGAAGTTAGATGGAGAAGAGTTAGTCAAATTTTTGCAAGATGTTTTAGATGCCCTTTTTTCAATGTTCTCTACTGAGGATGGAAATTCCACTTCTCATTCAGGACTAGTCTTCCATGTTTTGGTAAGTGTTTTGTTTTGTTTATGTATGAATTAGCATCATTTTTACGAGGTAAGTATTGTACGTGATTAACTTTTCTATTAAAAAAAAAAAAAAACTGGAAAAGATATGGTCGATGTATAAAATAAATTTATTTTATGCACCAAATATTTTTCAACTTTCCTGTGATATTACTTTGTATGAAATGAAAAAACGGCAAGTGCCTGGAAAATCAAAATTGTTCACTCAGTTTGTTTTCTGTTTAAAACAAGGACAGAAGACATTATTCTAGTAAAAGTGTTGGTATTGTATTTTCTCCACAATCTTGTCAATAAGTTGATAATGTTATAATATTCAATTCTGAGCTTAGGCCTCATGTTATCTAGCATTTAATTTTAACTGTATCAGCATTAAAAGGACTTTTTAGCAATGATAAGTCGCGTGGAAGGATTAGAATTAATGAACCATTCGTTAATGACATTTCGTTTGCGAGCAAAACATTTTGTATCAAAAATAAAATGCTCTTCTTTTTGGCCAAAAAGAAAGGGGCAAATACAATGAAAGGCAGATGAGTTTGGAGAAACTTCTTGAGATCAGACCTCCGCATATGGATGGCCTCCCAACACCAAAATTATAGTACTAGTAATTAAACAACTAGACCTCCACTTTTTTTGAAATTGTACTAAAGATTGATTCACTTAAAGGATTTCAATTTTTTTTTGTAAAATATATCATAATAACAATCATTTTTCAAAGGAAGCCTTTTGATTAGGAACCTGTAAGTAAAATAATGTCACTGCCATTTGGTGAAGGAGATACATGTTTTCTTATATCCTGTAACCTTTTCAATATTTTGCTCTCCTCACAGGTTAGTATTTTTAGTTTGCTCTACGACAGCAAATTTGAACATTTCAAACCTGTCATGGATGCCTACATCAAAGGTCACTTTGCTGCTGCTCTAGTCTATAAGTAAGTACTTTTTTTCTTTTTTTCTTTTCATCCCATTTTTCTTGAAAAAGTTGACCACCATTTTATCAGTTTCTTTAAGTGATTTTAAACGTGTGGCATACAACATTCATAGCTGAATCTAGGGCAGTCGAAGTGGAAACGATAGACTTTGTGTGGAAACAGCAAGGGCAATAACTTACCTTTTCTTAGTTGTACATTCCAAAAATTTTGAATATCATCGGTTTGAATTCTTACTGAATGAAAGAGCAAAACCAAGACCCTCTTTAAACAAGAATAAAAACAATTACAGCTAACACTCCATGAGCCATATGCACCGTCATTTTTAATACTTTAAAGCCTCCTCAAGCCATGAAAAATATATTTGGTAGGGGAGTTGTTCAGTTTAGAGGACAACTAAAGACCAAAAATATTAAATGAATACAAAAATACATTTCCTTGTTCCATGTTTGAATAATTTTTTTTTCATTTTTCAGGGGCTTACTGAGCAGTGTTCAGCACTGTGCAGACTGGGTTAGCTCAACTGAAAAGCAAGAACCAATCCAAAAATGCTTCCGGTCTCTAGAATATATTTTTAAGTTTATAATTCATTCTAGATTGCTGTTTTCTCAATCCACCGGTGGATTGTATGAGGACAATTTCAGGAGAGATTTACTTTTAGTTTTTTCAGCATTGAATAAAATGCTAACCGTCACTTATGATGTCATTCTTCCTACTCAGGTAATTTTTTTTTTTTTTATTTTCTCTAATATTAAAATTTGACTAAGAATTTAGAAATTTAGTTGATGTTTTTGAATGAAGAGTTGACTATTCTCTTGAATAATAGAAACAGGAAAATAAATCAATTTTTAGTCATTAAAATTTTTTATGAAGTAAAGTTCTGCTTACATTTTTTGTAAATCTTCAAATTTTAAATCTCTTGCCAAAGTACATATGTTCCTCATTCATATAGAAAAACAAAATATTTTTTAGGAGTATGAAGGAAACTCGCCAGGAATTTTGAAAGTCCTTCTGTCCAAAACTTGGGAAGTTGTAGACATTTGAAGGGCTTGGAGGACAAGGCGCATCAGTGTAGTTTTTACTATTTTAAGAAATGCTGGTTTGAAATTTCAAAACAACACGGATCCTTATGGCGGAAAGAAAGCTCAAACTAACTTTTTTATGCTTAAAAATTGGAATTTTAGGAGAAAACTTTTCACAGAATATGTATTTAGGCTAGGCTTATTTGAAATCATTCATATCTTCAATTTTTTCAAAAACTGCACTTATGCGCCTTGTCCTCCAAGCCACTCACTTCTCCTGCTGGTAGTTCTAGAAATCTTCATCAATTACTTTTTTTGTAGAAAAGGTGAAAAATGCAAGTGTGTAGAACTAGGATTTCTTGATTCCGAATCGATCATAAATAATGAAATTGTTTTTATGAACCTTAACTTTTCCTATTCCTTACTTGCAATCCCCTTTGTTCATGTTACAGATAGCTCTTTTGTACGGTATCAGTGCTGTCTATGACCAGTTAGTTTTAGTCTTACCAATTTTAGAAGTTACTTCATTAGCTTGCTCTCTTCTGGAGAGCTTGTCTGTTCGAGACATTCCATTGCAACTTGTTCAAGCCAAACTTGTCGCCATCAAAAACATGATCTCAGGAAAATTATTCAAAGAAGACGGTAAGCATATGGTTTTTAGCTTCATATTATTTTAATTTGCTGATAGGAGGAATCTTTGTAAAAAAATCCCCCCTTTTTTTCGTATCAAAACTTATAGATTCGTGTAGACGCCGTGAGAAACAACAAATATTTCTAGAAGATGGCAAATTAGACTTGCTTTCAGTACAAATAGTAGAAATTGAAAGAAGGATGTATTTTTTATGCATCTTTCTACTATGTTATGTTATAATTTCCTCTTAATAGACTGCAGGTATTTCAGAGTTCCTTCATATTGGAGAAGGTATGAATCTATATTTTTATTTTCATATATTTTTGGTCATTTTCTCTTCAAAAAATTAATGGGATGTAAGAAAACCAATGTATTAATTGGGCTATTTTTCTCTGTCTGCTAGCACCATTCAAGTCAGTTGCTCCATTGGAAAGTTTGGGTACCAAAAGGTATTTGACGTAGGTCCATCACGAGTAAAATGCTCTACCTAATTCCCTCCCGATGGATCACGTGTCGAAGTAGGAATTTAAGTATTATCATACATTTTTCCTCTCCAAAGTTTCATGTAGTACATGATTGGTTCAACAAAAATAACTGATGGTGACTCCAAACCAAGATAATAACGTTTTTATTTAGCATTGGTCACGAAAAATTTGAGACAGTTGCTCACAAGAAAAACGAGAGTTCAATTGAATCAAAGCGCGCACTAGAACGGTTTTGGTAGGCCTCTCCATCAAGCAGTGTTTCTTGCCAACTTTGTGTTGTTTGAACCATAAAAATTCTCAATAGCGGAGCCGAAGTGCCAAGATTAAGGTTGTCATATTTTCATACCACAGAGACCGTCATGGTAACGTTTAAAGTGTGTTTAACTCAAGTATATTATTCTTTCCTCTATAAGCAGGGAATTTGAATTCATGCATCAAAAGACGTTAATATCCTGATTGGGAGTTAATATCAGTGATTTTCGCTGCATAAATCTTGTTCTACATGAAATTTTGATGGGAAGTTTATTTATAATAATGCTTAAATTTGCACCTTGTCCAGTGGTCCTTTTTAGTAACAGTTGAATTGAGAAGGAGGACTCAATAATTAGTGAGATTTTTTTTCTTTTTTCATATTTTATTAAGTGACCCCCAGTGAAAATTCTAAACCTATCTCCATCCATCTTCTACAAAACTCTTCCTCTTTGTCTCTTGTGGAATAAAGTACTTTTACAAACCACATACTAAAAATTAAGAAAATCGGAAACTTGTCCAGTTCAAGATGACACTTTTAAAGCTCCAGAAAAAAAGTCTCTCTGGGATAACTTAGGGACCCCATGTGTTTCCATAATTCCAATATTAACACAATATATATTTTTTTCCAAAATCCGCAATTTATTCATGCAACCAAGGGCCGCAACCAACAATATTTTCATTCCTTTGTGGAATTGTTTCAGAGTCTCGCAGTATCTTACTGGCTACCTGTTGCAAACATTTAAGAATACATTTAGCTCATCGAGATGAGCTTCGACTCTGTGCTGAAATATTAGGCGAAATTTTATCATTCCTTTACCAACAGAAGCGACAGCAGATAAATGAAGGAGGAAAGGTAATATCAAATAATCACTAAGTATAAAGAATCTCTTTAAAATAAGTAGTCACTCTTTTCCATCTTTTTGGCTGCAAATGTACTTTCGATGGTTTTATTCTTCATCGAGTAGTTGGAATATGCTACACACTCATACCATAGTTTGCATAATCTTAAAATAATAATCATTTATAATCATAATATTTTCTTGCTGCTGTAATCTTTCATCATGAATGACTTGCACAAACAGCATTCTCATGGATTCTCATCGTTCATGCAATGAAAGACTACTTAAAATTAAAGAAAAAATTATAAAAGCTTGCAAAGAAAGGCCATGAGAAGATCTAAAATTTACAAAAAGCTGGTAAGGCTCAATCTTAGTGATATCTTCATTGGCGGCTTCAAAATGTTGACACTTTCTACTACAGCTGGTTCTAAACTAAATTTAAAAATTTGCTCACTAGTATCTATATATTCTTCTGTGATTAGCTTATTCATAAAAAAGAGGATCATTACAATATCATGTAAAAATTCTCAATGAAATGCATACAGAATTTTGTTTGCATTGCCGAAGGGACAAGAGAAACTTTGTCGTGATGATAAATTTATAGTGCAAGTCTTCAGTAAAGATGCATTGATAATTACTCTGTGATCAATTAAGAAAATCAGAATTTGATTTGATGGCACGGCCATAATAAGCTCACACTAATGAACACATAGCTTCACTATTTTATTCATATCCTGTAGTAATGAGCAGCACCAAACTTTTGAAGCTGTAATGAATATTTCACCACGTTTAAGCCCTGCTAGCCTGCCTTAATTTTAAGATATTCTTGTAGCCTTTTCTTTGAAAGTTTTTGTAATTATTTTTACAGCTACTGGCTCCATCAAAAAAATAAAATAAATGAGAGTGCGTAGCCATCTGCTGTTTGTGCATGTCATTCATGCTAAGAGACAATTGCAGCATGTATCACGCGGAATGATAAAATGCATTAGAAAAACTTATATATAGTAAAATATACTTCAGCTGAACATCCATTAAACAAATTAGATTTTATTTTATGCATTGAAATTTGGCAACGTGAATCATTAGGAGTTACTTAAGACTCTTTCAAAAGGAGAAGTTGATACCACAAAACTGGCAGCCTGGGCAAAGATTGTCTGATTTACTGTTGCTATGAATTAAGCTCCTCTGTATGAATTAGTCAATTTCAAGTTTCGGCTTTTTAAACTGCTTGCCTTACAGGTTTTCGTTTCACACATTTTATTTAGACATCAGTCAAGATTATAATTCCTATAGGTGGAAATAATTAAGATACCTTGCTCTCCCTCTGCAACGAATTGGCAAGGGATTGAACAATTTATTGGTGTAGAGAACGAATTGTCTCATTACAAGCAGCGCTCAACAAACAATGAAAGTTTCAGGGACCAAACAGTTCCTTCATTATAGAGAATTTTTTGTTACAACAAGTGTTATTATGGAGAGAGAGTACCGTATATATTAATTTGAACAAAATGCGGCTCATATGTTTGTCTAGGAAGAGAATTTTTCCCAAGGAGGTTAATTTTTGTTAAAAATTTGTAAAGAGGCTTTCCTAGATTACCATTATGAAAAAAAAAAAAAAAAAAATTATCTAGAATCAAACCGCCTTCAGTCTTAAAAGGCAACTCAGTGAAGTTATACTGCTGACTTCAGAAAACTTGTTCTCCGTTAATTTGAATTTATCATTTTTTTGTTTTGCTTTTTTAGGTGAATAATTGTTTCCATCATGATGTGGAAATTATATGCCTCAGTACTCTGGATATGTTGATTCAAACAGTCCTGATCATAATTGACAGATCCTCTCCTGTATTGGTAAGTATTGGTAGTTCATCTTTCAAAGTAATATTTTTCATTGGCTTTGTTACCCTGTTGAAAATCTATTAGGACTTTCATAATCTCTCCTCTATGTTCTAAGAATCTTTTTAAAGGACACCTCACAACACTATAATCAAATCTGTAGTAGAATTTCTGATGTGTAATTTAGATTTTTTGTGAACAAACTTAAAACCATTTGTCAAACTTGTCAACTTAGAATAACATATTGTGGGATTTAAGGTACAGAACCTTAGGCACGTCTGTCCGCGGCGTCCTGGACGCCGCGGAGAGACGCCGATAAATCTGTCTAATGATTTTGCGTGGGGATGGCACCTTAGCGGCGGAGAGACGCTGCGGAAAACGCCGATGGAAGACGCCGACAAATTCCGCTCAGTCCGCTGCCTTTCCTACCGATTTCTGAATGTGGTTAGTTCGACAAACCCACGAATCGATCACAAAAGCCGTGAATTGACCGATAATAGCCGTGAATCGATCGACCCACCCGTGAATCGATCGACAAAAGCCGTAAATCGATCGACAAACATGTGAGTCTATCGACAAACCTGTGAATAGATCGACAAACCTATGAGTCGATCGACAAACCTGTGAGTTGATCAACAAACCCGTGAATCGATCGACAAACCCGTGAGTCGATCGACCAAGCTGTGAGTTGATGGAATTATGTCGATCGGTTCACGTTTTGGTGTTTCGATCGATTCATGTCGATTGACTTGATACCAGGTTTTTTTTTTAATTAATTGTCAATCATTTCTCGTCGATCAATTCACGGTTTTTTTCCGATCGATTCATGTCGATCGAATCGACACCGGTTTTTTAATAATTTGTCCATCGAATCCATGTCGATCGATTCATGTTTTTATTTTTCGGTCGATTTTTGTCGATTGAATCCACACTCTCCTAAATAAAGCGCGTCCAGCCATTTTCGCGGCTCAAAGCATACTGTCTGTTCAACAAAAATTCGAGAAATTGACAGCGGACAGAGCGGAAAAAATCCACAAATTCCGCTCCTAAGGTGCCGTGCTCCAAAATGTTAGCGTCTTCTCGCCCTCGACTCGGCAGCAGAGTTTTCCGCTGGCATCCAGGGCGCCGCGGACAGACGCGCCTAAGGTTCCGTAGCTTGAGAAAATTATGAATCATTACCATAACTTCCAGGTTTTACATAAAATGCTCCTGTAGGGTGTAGTTCATTTTGGCCTCTCTAAAGAATTGACTAAGTCCAGATTTCAACCGATTCTATTGACAAAAATTATTAATTATCTGAAATGAGAACCAAATTGAAATCATTTTTAGGCAACGCAGAGGGATCAAAATTTTTGGTAAAATAACATTGGTGAAGATGTGAGGGAAATATGTTTCTCATAGAATATATCAAATTTTAATGTAATAATCAATAATCTGTTATTAATAATCAAATATATTATAATATATAAAATATCAAACCTTGTCATGTGCAATTACTCTGGCTTAAATTTAAATACTCTTTGTTTGCCTCTCTACATGATACAGTAATGAAACTATATTTTTATCAACAATGTAATTATGTTTGAGTTGACGCCTTATTTTTCTTTTGGTCAGAACCTGTTGTTTGTTGCCGCTAATATTTAAACCAATTTTTACTTGCTCACTATTCTCTTCTTGTAAAAAAATATAGAACCTAAACAGTTTTTATGTGATGATCATATTTTGATCGATGCTTTTTGAGAATTCTCCATTTTTTCCCCTTTAGTGGAACTAATCTAAATGGATTATTTTCCAGGGGTGTCTGGTGGCGTGCCTTATAGCATTACTTCAACTGCTGGACGAATTTCATTACAAGCGGCTGTGGGAGGAACTAGCGGACCGAAAGCCCCTGAAAGATTTTCTGTTACGCATATTCCTTGTTTTCCGAGATCTCATTCGGCAAGATGTCTTCCCGTCTGATTGGCTCATTATGAGAATGATGACTAATTCTGTAATTTTAGCAACACTGAAAGAGCTTTCCCAGCCTCTTGTGTTTTGTTTCCTGGAATCTAGGTACCACTTCGATAATCAGGTCTGTACTGTTTGTACCTCTTAAATTTGCCAAGTTTAATTTCCCTTCAGTGAGGAGGGGTAGTTTTTCTACCGTCAAAAATCCTCTCTATTCTAATAAAATCATTTTAAAGATGCTCGATGGATAGGGTGAGGGAGAAGAGTAAGACGGTCCACAGGTCGAATTCCGAAGAAGGAATCAAAATTCAGAGTAAGGAGAAAGTCATCAAGAATATTGTTTGGCAGGAAATTTGTCCTCAAAACATCGTTTTGTTATTCAATAAAAATTGTTTGCTCACTAACCACGTGCGGTTTTGACGATTTCGCTAGTCACGAAGCAGGCCCCTGGGGTACGCAGTGCCCCAGGGATTGGGCTTCATAGCGGCCAGTGTGTGAACTGTCTAGTAAAATAAATACATTGAAAAGACAGGTTGAACATAACTAAAATTAGTAAAGTAACACCGACAGGTCATTTTAGCTTGGTTCCTTGCCCATCTTCAACTGGAACAAAAGCTAAAAACAGTAAGTGATTATGCAAAAATGAGCATGTTCAATCTAAAAAGGTGCCTTTTATGCACTCTCTTTCGTTTGCCAGCGTTTTAATTAAAGAGTGCATAGCATCCTCATGATGAAACATTTTTCAACAAAATCAAAACACCAAATGTGTATGTTTGGTCAAATCTTGTAAGTACCAAATTGGATTCCCTCTGTAAAAATACCACGAAACAATGAGTTCAATATGTTTGAATGTTACAGGTGTGGAGCAACTATTTCAATTTAGCAGTAGAGTTCCTAACGCAACCCTCTTTACAATTGGAGAAATTCAGTGATGTAAAGCGGGAGAAAATAATTGAGAAGTACGGTGATATGCGTGTTTTAATGGGCTTCCAAATTCTCTCAGTCTGGTCGAAACTAGGTAAGCACTATTCAGTTGCCTTTAAGAGAAAAACGTTCATGAAAAGTAGCTACGGAGTAAGAATCTAACCTCATTCAAATCCTAATACTTCACTCTGAGGATTGAATTCTACCCCAAGACTTATTTAACTCCCCTCTCAATATTCTTCAGTTTCCCAGTGGAACGCATGCTTGAACCAGATACGAATCTCAAAGCATTATCAGAATGAAGAATTCTTGTGTTACTCTGAAATTAAAACTCAAGGTTTAATTTTATTCAAGGAAATCTATAATGTCACAATATTTTTTTTTCGTATAAATTTTATGAGTCAGCTGAGAATTTTTTGACAATTAGCCTCATTAGACAATATTGATTGGATCTTCCCACTTTTTTATCTTCTTTCCTTTTTTTTTTTTTTTGATTACAGCGATTAGGAGATAAATAGCTGAAAATCCAGCGAATAAATTAAAGGATAGGAATTTAAATTCTAGTTTAAAGTGCTAAATCTTTTTGTCATTTGTTTCAGGAGAGCATAAAATTAACTTTATTCCATCCATGGTCGGACCGTTTCTAGAAGTGACTTTAGTACCTGAATCAAAATTGCGCAAAGCTACTCTTCACATATTTTTTGATATGATGGAGTGCGAACAGAGAGCTCATGGAAATTTTAAACAAGTATGAAGCTTTCTAAAATCTTATCAACCTAAGACTAAAATTTCTTTCAAACATAATGAAGCTTCAACTTCCTACACACTATGTGAGAGAATTACTCAGCTTGTTTTGATCATGAACTCATGATTTTAATCATTCCTAGCTCAAAATTTAAACTTGTTGCAGGCTATTTAACCACCCAGGTAATTGATAATCAGCTTGTAAACTGGTCACCTGGGGCTGCACTGGGGTAATAAGGATGGAATAGGTCAGTTGCGCTGGTCACAGATTCGTGTTGTAATGTTTTATTCTTGCAGATCAACAAAAAATAAGATCCGTCCAAACAGCAACTTTCTATGTTGAATATTTTTGGAGATATCGCGCCTTTAAAAACTCGATTTATGACGTCATCCATCGGTAGTGCTTACCTTGTTATGCACTACCATGGTGGATGACGTCAAAAACCCGACTTTTCAAAGGACGATATCACTCTTAATATTCAACGCAGAAAGTTACTTTTTGGATAGATCGTCTTATTTTCAGTTGATCTACAAGAATCAAGCATCAAAAAACAATTCCGTTACCAGCGCAACTGGCCCATTAGCCATGTGGGCTACTTGAAAATTGGGGGAGGAACCCCTGGCCGTTGAATGCTGAATTTGTTGCTGCAGCTTGTATATCAAATCCATACTCAAGTTTATGAGAAGTAATTCCTGGAGGATGTCGTCTGCAGGCCAGTTTTCTTAGGATGCTTGTTTTTGTAGTAACCTGACATTCTCCATAAATCTGGGACATTCAAAAGAACTCACATTCTTGGATTTTTCTAAGGCCACTCACCGTTCACCCAGGTCATACAATTGCTTTTGAATGGCCTAGGCAATTTGATCCGACTACTATTTGCGTTGCAAAGCGGAAGAAACGACGAGAAAGGAAATGATTTAACCTGTTTAAAAAGGTGTATTTTTCACACTTTTTGTCCTGTTTCAGGTGGAGTCAGAGCTCATTGACAAACTTGATATTTTAATCAGTGAAAATAAAGGTGATGATGAGTACAGGCAGCTTTTCAATACTATGTGAGTGTGATATTGTATCCTTAAAAAATTTCCCCCTTGTTTAATCTAATATTTCCAGTAAATTTCGCGAATTCATCATGTCATAAGAACAAGGTGCACATTTTAAACTTTATTCTGTAGTATATTTTTCTACTTCGATGGAATCTGAGAAAGAATAGATGCTTTACTTCTCTTAGAACAGCCACGGTCATTGGAAGTTTTAAAGTATAATCTCTTGCTTTGCAGAATTTTAGATTCTGGATTAGGACCAGTGTTGGGTTGAGTTCTAAATTTACCCGAATCCGAAATTCTAACTTTCGAATCCAAATCCAGATCCATTGCAAATCCTTCACTTTTCAAAAACTCAGTACTTTTTTTTATTTATTATGCAGATAAACAAATACTGGTTGCGATATCTCGACGGGGCGAGTATTTATACCTTTATTTATTGTCTGAAATGAGTGGATATTTCAGATCGAGAGACAATATCGATATTTGGCGCTATTCGAGAACCTTCGAGAATCTTGGGGATTCGGATTCATGGTGCAAATTTAGAAAAGTCGGAGGATATGCGGATTCGGATTCGAGCATTTTGACGCCGAATCCCAAATCCACGTCCCAACGCTTGTTGGGTTTATGCTGAAGGAATTATCTCTTATCCCTACAATGGGAAAGAATACGACATTCGATCAATTTCTGTCATAAATTACATTTTCATATCTCTGAAGTTGCAAACATATTTAATGAAAAAAGCGCAAACATATCAGAAATCCACACCCCTGTTCTTTCTAATCAAATCAATAAAACTTGACCCCTCTCGCGACTGTTTTCACCTCTTACTAACCTGTGCTAAAATTTTCCTCCAACTTCTCTGTTCTAAAAAACATTTAAGCTTCATTAATATCATGCTTTTTTTTCTTTTTCAATCCTTCAGGGAGCATTTGAGTGCTGTGTAAGTCTTTCTTTTCAATTCGTTTTTGCATGTCTATTTTCATTCTAGTTTTGAACTTGCATCAAATATCTTTCGGACTATACATTGTAAGGTAGCGTTAATGCAAGGCGTCTTTGTGGAGAGATGGAATGGAAAAAGGCAAAATTCTCAAAGAAGGGTCTAAAGGACAGCAGGAGAACAGAAGATATATGAATGAATAGGAAGAGATATGAATGATCTAGAAGTTTTCGTGTCATAAGCATTCATTTACTATTTAAACATGAGAAACAGTTAGTGGGATTTTTTTCATTATGTGGAAAAAGACGCTTCTATTTACACTTCTCTCTTCATCCAACAGCTTCTGATACAATATGATAGATTGATACACAGATGGATATAATTTAGGTATGTCAGGCTCTGCAAATTATCCACAACAAGAAAAATCCAACCAAAAAATCTTTTTCCTTTTCTCTCACCATTTTTCGTTCTATTTTAGTTTAGTTTTTTTTTTGTACTTTTTCTATTTCTTTAGGTGAGTGGACGTTCGATTTTTTCAAAAATTTTATATTTTGAGTTTTTGGCATCATTTAATTGAGTGTACTTTCTTATTGAGACTCAGTTAGGTCAGTTCTAATGACTGCACTAGCCACAGTTTGCAATTCAGGAAGCCAAGTCATGAACCACAATGTAGCTCTATTCTTTTCCATGTCGACTTTCCTGAAACTTAATGATTTTGGTCTTCATTTATTTATTTGGAGTGGTTTTTTGCACCAACACCCGAAGAGTTTTTTTTTTTATATAGATATTGAAGAACAATTTTTTTTTTTTTTAGAACTTTTTGTAGTAAAAAAATTGAAAGTTTTCCACGCAATTTTCAAAAGTTAAATTTTAAAAGCATATAGGAACGCTCAAAAAAAAAAAAGAGTTTATATTGACATCTCAATTATCTCCCGAGGAAAATGTACAATAATTGTGAGCCCTATTTTACATGGACAAGCTTAAGTCAGCCCACTCTCCTGAATATGTGTGTTTTCCAAGTGAAGTTCAAATCTTGTCAGGGTGCGTATGTGTGTGTGTGTTTTTATTTGGCTATTCCTAATTTTGATTGTCTTGCTAATTCTATTCTTACATAATGATGAGTTAGTATGATTGACCTTAGTTGAGGAATATGTAGATTTTGCCCTCTTGCCTTCGCCGTTTCTTTCATGTTTCTTTTATCAACTAGTAATGTTAAGCTTGCAAAGCCAGGTATTTTTCATTGAGTTCCATCTTTTTTCAATGATTTGTTGTAAAAAATCTTTGCATAAGTCGGGAAAACGTCTCTTAATTTCAATAATCTTCAGTTGCGTCCTTGCCGTACTTTTCTCATGTTTTCTTTTTTTTTTTTTTTTTTTTTTTTTAAAAAGAAATTTTATTTAAATATATCGTAACTACTACAAGTGTTTCTTGTATCTATCTACGTGGCTTAAAACTAAAACTTAACAAACTGCATTAATTTTATATGTTAACGTTAGATAATACTATGATTATCTAAAAGAACAGGAATTGTAAATTCTCTGCCTTCTTTCTTAAATGTATTATAACATAAAGGTTTTTAGTTTAATGGTCATGTTTTCTAATTATTTTTTCTGAATGATCATTGAGTCGCGTATTGAAAAAAACTGAAAAATTGTCAGAATTTTTAAAAAAAATGAAAATTTTGTAATAACTGTGTAAACACTGAAAAAGTCAAGTCGAGCTGCCTCTTTTTTGGATGACCTTACATCAATAAGCATTTCCACTGTAACATGGGCCCTATCAAGCATGTACCAGTCCTGTGTGTAAGTCTTAGGACCCAAGTCCAATGGATATAGTTCCCTTTGATTGAAATATCTCCAATTTTGATGATGTAATGCTCAGTTTCAAAGTAGCATTTCACCAAAAAAAAAAATATTGAAATAAATTTTAATTTAATGCAATGAAATTACTACCTTCCTATCATAGAATTTAGAATTGGTGAAATGAGTTCCATGTGTGAAGAAGGTGGGCAATTCATTTTGCAAAGGAAAATTGGAACTTACCTCTATTTCATCTCAATAAATTTCTATAAGAGAGCCCCTTCAATTCATAGATTGGCAACATGTACAGCTCTCCGATACAGTATCAATAATTTACAACCTAGCAATTCATTGCATCGTATGTTACATGTGATAGTGCAAAAGGCAAATTAAAGGTAAAACATTAATGCTAACAGTAATTCTGCCGCACTAAAGAATAACGCTGTATGTATAAACATTCAAGAGTTGCCAAATTTCTCTGGAAAAAATTATGTACTTGAAGGAAAGTTAAACATATTTTCCTTTGAAATGTTCAGACATTTTAGATAAAATTGTGAGCAAATTTTCCGAAAAATTGGAAAAATAATAATCCCAACTTTCCCAATAAATTCGCATTTTAACGAAATTTGACAATGCCTGAAGATTCATGCGGCGTTTTTCCTTAGCATGGCAGAATTGCAAGAGCCTGCTCAAATCATATTTGTCCTGTTGGAATAAACGTAATTAATTTAAAATATTTTTTCGTCTACCAATGTGTATCAAGTATAAAAAGGAGTAATGATCTGACTTCTGGGTACTTTACTTGTAAATTATTTATGTATGTTCACATTTTATTGCTAAATTGTTCATGTTTTGCAGTCTCTTGGATAGAGTTCAAAGCGAAGATCCCTCATGGAAAGAAACAGGATCTGCATTTATTAGCTCTGTGACACGATTGTTGGAACGATTGTTAGATTATCGGAGTGTCATCCAAGGAAATGAAAACAGAGACAAACGAATGTCTTGTACCGTAAATTTGTTGGTAGGTGCCTTTATTTTTAGAATGCCTCTCTCCCAAGTAGTAGTGATTACGATAAGTTGCGATTGGATCAGAAAAGGTATCGTGATTTTATCAATGTCAAATAATCGCAATATTATCAAATAAAAAATTGCGATTTCATTTCATGAATTTGCAATAAAATTGCGATTTATCTCAATATTATCAAACAATACATCGAAATATATTCAGATAAAATTTCGATTTTGTAGAACGCAATTTTATGGAGGTAAAATTGCGACAAGATCAAGGATAATCGCTTAGATGTTGATGATCCTAGCGATTTTATCGCCAAAAAAAATCATAAAAAAATTGCAACTTAATTTCAAAATATCGCGATTTTTTCGTTGAAAAATGCTACTTGGGTCTGTTTCATTGAATGTTTTAGAGAAAAAGAAGGATGATGAAATTTGGTCAAAAAAATCACTTGCCATTTTGCAGTTATATGTTTATTTATTTATGCACAATACAGAAGTTAAAATAAACGCGAGAGTGGATATTGAGCATCTCTCAAATTAGAGACAGAGACGTTGATGTAAATTCATAGTCTTTGGTGCCTGTATACTCATCATAAAGGGAAATAAATTCATTTGAGTAAAATCTAGGCTATAAAAGTGAGGTTCTATGCCTACTCTGGCTCATTGTAGGGATGACCTGCCGAGTCAGATACAGGTGCTGCTAGATAAAATGCTTTCCAGATGATGGTAAGTTTGCTTACTTTTATGGCTGCTTGCCCAAACCTCAGTTTTGTTTCAGCGATGTTGGAGCAAGTGTTCGGAGCTTGGAATAAAGAAATCAGGAAACTGCAATGCGCTAATGATGGATCCCATTAGAGCGAAAACTCATCTGCGGTTGTCTTCCTGATTGATTGTAATCAATGTTGTTTCTAACAGCGTAACACTGCAATGAGAACCTCCCACTGCTAATGCTCAGTAGGGTCTCAAAACTTGTCTATGGGCATGACTGATCTGCATCGATTTGTATCTTGAACAAGAAGAGGAGACTTGTAATGAACCGTTGGAATACCACCTTTTTTGTGGAAGTTCCTCTTGTTTTCATTTTCAATTTTCATCGGAGATAATCGGAGAAGTCTGACAAAGAGCCAAAACTGTTTTAAGACTTAATGTGTACTACCTTATGGGAATGCTGTCTTATTATGCCTATATAGTACTATCGGTTGGCTTTCTTTTTTTTCTTTTTTGGTACTTATGGTGTCAATAATCCATGGCCTGTTGTTCCTCCTCTTCCTACTTTAAATTTGAGCTTTCTTCTCTCTTTTTGCAGAATTTCTACAAGAATGAGATCAACCGAAAAGAAATGTATCTGCGGTACATTTACAAACTCCATGACCTGCACTGTCCTGCCGACAATTTCACAGAGGCTGGTTTTACACTAAAATTGTATGCTGATTCTCTAAGTTGGGAGTCAAAAACACCTCTAACCAATGACCCGCAAAGTCCCAATACATTTGAATGGCGTAGAAAAGAACAGCTTTACCATCAAATCATCAACTACTTTGACAAAGGAAAGGTAAATGATGTTTGCATCTCCAATGCCTCTGTGCCCGCTCCAGGCTTTTTCTTTCTAATTTTTTCTTCTTTCCAAGGAACATTTTATTTATTTTTATTTAACTACTAAAGAGTAAAATACTCATGTTAAAATTAGAGGAGTTTTAAAAGAAGAAAAAATGTATTCTTTGGATGTAAAAAATTCATTTTATTCAAATTTTGGATCAAGTTTACCCAAACCCCAATTGATGATCAAATCAATAAACTCCAATTTAATCAAAACCCTAATGAGCTGGAACTGGAGGGGTCATGATCTGAGATTGTTTCATGCTGTATTGGCACCCACAACTGGTACCTTTTAAACCCCAACCATTTTCTAATTTCCAAAAAAAAAAATTAACATTCAACTCACCCATTTGTTCCCCTGTCTCCATCACCATGTACTTAATTGTAAATGGAAGGGTAGCGTTCTTTCGTTAGTATTAATTAATAATTAATTAATTAAGTTGGATGGATTAAAACTGGAAGCGTAGGCCTTGAAGAAAGCCAAGAAGGTCTAAAAGCCGGTCTTTTGTTTCTAATTTTTACAGGAGATTATGAATACAGTTTCTCTTTGGCAAAGTCAAATGAATGGGACTCAATGCTGTGTAGTTCTTTGGTAGCTTTTTTTTCTGTTACTTTAATTTTATTCTGTGTTTTCAGTGTTGGGAGAATGGTATCCCCCTGTGTAAGGAGCTAGCTGACCTGTACGAACATCGCCTCTTTGATTATCAAAAGCTGAGCTCGATTCTTCAAACGCAAGCAAAATTCTGCGACAACATTCTTCATCAGTTGCGCCCAGAGCCAGAGTACTTCCGCGTTGGGTTCTATGGTCTTTCGTTCCCACTCTTTGTTCGTAACAAAGTCTTTGTGTATCGTGGACTTGAATATGAGCGGATTGAGGCTTTTACTCAACGACTTCAAACAGAATTTCCTTGCGCCCAGGTTCTGACGAAAAATAGTCCACCCTCACACACAATTCTTGAGTCAGAAGGACAGTGGATTCAGATTACCAATGTTAAACCTCTTCCAGAAAGTGGACCACCAAGCTGTCGAGTACCCTTGGCCCCTGTACCCGATAAAGTTGCTCGATTCTACCAGGTAAGTGCTCTCAAAAAGTATTCGCATGCCTTCTAATTGTCTAGTGGAAATAGAATCAATCTATTGATTGTCCCTTTTTGTCTTATTTTTTCTAATATCGTGCCTCTGAGACATTGTGTCTAAACTCATTTCGATGTATTAGAGCTCATTAAAAATTTGTCCTTCATCTCAATCAAATTTTTGTATGAACGAAATGGATTGACATACCTACAACTCTAGGACATCAAGATTTTGCCGCCCCTGCGATTTGTCGTCATTGGAAGTGGTCATGCCATTAGTAAATTACATAACCCAATTTTTTATGCGTATTGTTAGGTGCAGCACCTTTCTTCTTTTCTTCGTGCAATTTTTTGCCACCCAACAAAATTTGCTGCCTTAGACTGCAGCCTAGGCCTCAAATCTTATGAAATAGAAACAGTCCTCTCTTCATACTATTATATTTTGATAATTCCTCTTTGATTTTCAGGTGAATGATGTGAGAACTTTCCAGTTGGATAGACCCATGCACAAAGGAACAGTCGACAAAGAAAATGAATTTAAAACACTGTGGCTAGAACGAACAATTTTATCAATTGCTTCTCCACTGCCTGGCATCTTGCGTTGGTTTGAGGTAGTGCACAGCTCGATGGAAGAGGTACCACCGGTCAGGTTCGCCTGTGAAACAATGCAAAATGTCAATAAAGACCTCAGAAACCTGATAAGCCAGTACATGGCAGACCCACGTAGAAATATCAATCCATTGAGTATGCGATTACAAGGGATTATTGATGCAAATGTGATGGGTAAGTAAATTTGGACCAAATATAAATCTCATCAAAGTTTCTACCCTAATTTTAATTGTACTAGGAAAACTGAATGAACTGAAATTATCATCTCAATAAACAGCAATTGAAAACGATTATGTTGTTTTTGGACTGTTTAAAATTAATATTCAGAAGGCCTTTTTTTTCCATCAACAAAGAAGCTTAAAAGATTTCTGTTGCACGTATGAGTTAAAGGATTAATATGTAAACGTGACTAAAGTGGAAATAACTGAGCAAAATGGAAGGTTTTTAATGTTTAAAAAATATTTTGACTGCTTCTGGCATTTGCGATGACTGATATCCTGAAGAAACTGCAGTTTCTGCATTCAGTGTAACATTTTTTACCTGTTCCACCTTTTGTATCTACATAATTTTACCAGTCAAAATTTTTGGTGTCAGAACTACAACTTCTAGCTTGTGCAGTTTGCTCAATAGTTCAAAACTCAATTAATTGATTAAAAATGAAATTTTCTCAATGCAGGTGGTATTGCTAAGTACCAGCAGGCGTTCTTCTCTCAGGAGTTCTCTCGAGCAAATCCACAGTGGATACCCCACGTACACCAGCTCAACACACTTATCCAGGAGCAGGTGGAAATTGTTGAAAATGGGCTTATCATTCATGGCAAGTTTGCCCCGGCTGGAGTTCAGCCACTTCATAAAAGACTCGTTGAAAGAATTTCTGAGCTGAAGCAAAGTATCCGCAAGTGTCCAGCTGATAGCATTATCAAGTGGGTAAACATTATGATATTCCTCTAGAATTACTTCTTTTTTAATAAACTAATTTAGCATTTTTGAATAAGTAACATGAATGGTCTATTTCACTCTTCTCATCTTCAATGAAGAAAAGATGCGCTCATGTATGCCGTTATGTATATCTTTTTATAATCTAGTGTTTTCATGAAATTCAAGGTAACAGTCACTTACACTCACTTTAAACTGCACAAACATTCTAAACCTCTGGATTATGGAACTGGTAATATTCTGCCCTGCTAAGGAAGAACGCTGTAGGAACATTCGAGAGTTGCCAAATTTCCCTTGGTAAAACATGGTTTTTTGATAACATTTATGCATATTTTTCCTTGAAATTTTCAGATATTTCAAATTAAATTACGTCCAAAATGGTCTGAAAATTTTGGAAAATAATATTTGCAATTTTCCCTGTAAATTCGAGTTTTATTGGAGGAAACTTGGCAACGTCTGAAGGCTCATACGGCGTTCTTCCTTAGAACGGCAGTATTGTCGGTGAATGAGCAGGGCTGTTCGAAAATCAAATTCTTGTTTAGTACTCACACTCTACTTACTCTACTCCACTCAAAACTCTTTGATGGTATCGATAGTTTCAAGGATGTAATGTAAACATTGATGCTTATATGTAAAATAATGTAATTTAAGTTCTTCATAGAGAAATTCGAAACCAAAATGTATCTCTAACTTTTTCCTTGGCCAAACAGACCCAGAAATTCAAGGAGCTCAGAATAAGTGAGTGGTGGCAATTAGTGCGGCTCATTCCTATCAAAAATGTTAACTTTCACGGGGTCACCGGTAAAATATTCTCTTTCATAATCAAAGATAGCATGAACATTTCTCATGCAGTGTCTCGAAATTTTTTCTCTGTGATACACTAGTTTTTAAACCAACTTCTTCTCCGAACATGATTAAAATTGTCTCACTCTTTCCTCTTACTTATATTTCAGTACCCCATTGCCACCATTACCAACAGAGAAGAAAGGAAATTCCTACGATGAGTACACCAACACTGTTGGATATGGTCACTTAACTGACTTGAACGATGATGATATTTACAGCAAACCCATGGTGAGCAACCCTCTGGCTATTTATTACACTTTAATGTTGAACACAGACAGTCTCTAAAGTAGTGTTGGCCATTCCTCTTCAATTTGAAAATATTTAATTTCTTTGATCATTTCTTCTGTAGATCTTTTGATCTCTGGAAATAGAAAATACGCTAACTCCTGGTACAAAATTTAAAAGAAACCATTCAATCATAGCCCAACATTACTTATTACTTTCCTTTATTAGTTTTTTTCTTTTAGGAGAATATTTTTCTACAAAAAGGTATTCAAGAAAATAATTCCTCCTTTTGGCTCTAGAGAACTGTTGGAAGAATTGTAAATTGCTTAAGCTTGTGTTAATTACAGTTAAATTTTCAGGGCTGATCTGTCATTTGACGGTTTTAGACTTTAGACAACGCATACTGAGTACGAACGATATTTTTCAATGTTTAACCAAAATTGATTAATTATTTTGGGAAAATCGAAAATTTAGGACTTGGATCAATCATTGAGGAGTGTTCATGCCAAAATTCATCTTCCAAAATCATAAAATAAAGTCAAAAGTACTGTTTCCATTTTGCAACAGACTTCAATGTATCTATTTCGGTTCGTAATTAAAACAGTATCTTTGATTTCGTGTTTAGACTTTGGAGGATGATTTTTGGCACAAGCTTTCCTCAATGATTCATCTACAAACTGAAATTTTGGTCCTCCCAAAATAATCCTCCTGAAGGTTAAAACTTGAATACATTGATCATTCCCAGAATGCTTTGCGCAAAAGCACCTTAATGAACTTACAGTCCACACCAAATAAGTTTATGCATTTCTAGACTTCGACAGAAGATTGTCCGACATAGAAACAAGATGCCGGATCTTCTGTCGCAGTCTAAAAATGCGTCAACTTATTTGGTGTGGATTCTATTTTGATTGAATGGAGGGAAATCTGGAAAGGCATGAGCAATAGGAATCATAAGAAAGTTAATCTGACTTTAATTGAAACTTACTTATGTTTTTTCTTATTGGCTAGAATCAATTCTTTCAGTAATTCTTCTTTCTTTAATCAGGATTTTATTTTTTATAATATTCTTAATTTTTTTTCAGGAACTTCAAGAAGATTTGAATGACTTATCGAACCAAGATGGAAACTCACCACCAGCAATTCCACAAAGAGAAAATCGACCAAGATCTGCTGGGTTCAGCACATCTCCTTCAAGGTAAAACTCAAACCATAAAATGAAGAGGCCCTCCTGTTATTGAGGTCGTTGCCATTTTCAAGATGCTGAAAAATGTTGCACAGTGAAGTCATCATTATTCAAGTAGGAACCAGATTTGGCATGGTGTCAAATTCACTCATAGCTTTTGGGGGAACAATCGTTTTACACGGCATCTTGCTCCGCCGATATGATGGAAACTCAATTCAGGTCAAGTTGCGCCTCCACTGCTTCCAATGTTGCGGGTGCTGATCGCCCCAATACTCGCGATACAACACTCGCGAAAGGAAAAAACACTTCCCCTGAATCCTTTTAGCCTAGCTTCTTCCTGCAGACATGTTGCGTTTTTGTATTCAAAAGATTACTCAATGTCAGAATACGGTGACACAATTGCTGCTTGACCCGCCGCCCCCCTCCTTCTTTTTCATATTCATGTCACCCACATCCAGATCAGCCCCTGCCCTCCTTCGGTGAGTGATGTAATTTATGGACGGTCCCTAACTGAATATAAAATCATTTTCAAAAACTTTTCCTATCGGTCCAGCCTCAATTTCCCCCATTGCAGACAATTAAATATAATACAGTTGAAACTTAAAACAATGAAACCATCGAATTAAAACAACGGCAGCTCCCAATGGGCCTGTTGCAAACTTTTGCTAGAGCAAAAATAAGAGTTGTTTCTCATAGATAATGCCTCAAAAATCACGATGAGCGCATCGGCAAAGTCTGAAATGCACTCATAACTTCACAGTCTGCGTAAGAAATTTGCGGTTTTTTGAGCTTCCCGCTTCAAAAACGATACTACGGCACAGGTGAATATTTTGTAAGAGGAGTCGTTCCATCGTCGGCAATAATCATCATGGCCGACGCCAATCCGCCAAAACACGTTTGATGGGACGAGATAACACCTGAACTGGATTAGACAAGATAACAATCGGTGTGTTAACGTTCATATTTTCCACGCCCGCATTGATTGACCTTGAACTCTCCTCGAATCACGCGCGGAACTGCTTGCAAGCGTCGGCCATGATGAATATCGCCGACGATGGAGCGACTCCTCTAACAAAATGTTCACCTATGCCGTAGTATCGTTTTTGAAGCGGGAAGCTCAAAAAACCGCAAATTTCTTACGCAGATTGTGAAGTTATGAGTGCATTTCAGACTTTGCCGATGCGCTCATCGTGATTTTTGAGGCGTTATCTACAAGAAACAACTCTTATCTTTGCTCTAGCAAAAGTTTGCAACAGGCCCATTAAGTTCATTGTAAGACATTGGTTGCTATAAGAAGACAAAAAAGTTAGCTTTTATGAGAAAATTCTACTGTGTTTGGAATATGAAGTGTCAATAAACCACTAGACAGGGTATGAATTTATAGTATTTTCAATTCACAGAAAATTACAGAATTATTGAAGCTTGTAAAATATCTATCATTGAATTTTTGTTTTTGTTTTAATGTTATAGTAGCATTGAGATAAAACCCAAAAGGCATCAGCGATCACTGAGTAAACCTCTTAGTCCCAAGTTGCTTCAAAGGCATTCAGTGGACAGCGGGACTGGTAGCTCATCAAATTTACGGAATTCATGGTCAGATGCAAATATGGATGAAGCTCCACCCTTACCACCTAGAGGTCACAGTAAGTTCTTGTTATAGTCAAATCTCCACAGGTGGATTTGTTTCATTTTTTGATCCTGATAAACAAATGACCAATTCGAAAAAAGGCTCTTTGTCTATTGGACTATTTTCTAAGGGGAGCCAAAGGACTCTTTGGTTTTGATTTAAAGCACGGTGATTAAGCGGTTTTTTTTTATTTAAAGTTGACGCAAAAATTATCAAAATTGGTCAATCTGTATGATGTAGAAATAATCGCAAAAAAATGAAGGCATGCCTTTTTTCAAAACTATTTTTTTTTGTCTGAGCTTCCCTAGTTCTAGTTTTTTGTTGCTGATGACTCTTTCATCTCTATCATTATCAGAGTAATTGAACTGCATTCTGCAATGACGAATTATGATTTCTGGATCATCCATAAAACACTTATGTGCATAAGAAAACTAATGGTACATACGTTCTTTCTAAACTGAGCCAGAAATTGTAGTTCCTAATCGGGAAAGGTAGTCTAATTTTTAGATGCATTTAATGGCAGGAAAAAGTTAAATTGCCCTTACAAACTATATGAATGGTCTGATTTTTAAGGTTTCTTGTTAAAATGTGGCATATTGTTCGTTTTTTTTCTTCTCTCCTCATATCTCAAGGAGAAGATCCTACTCATAGACTGTCCTCTCGTAAAATCCTTTTGTGATGCAGTTTCTGATCCAGAGCAGTGAATGATTTGGGGGCTAATTTTCGTACCTTCAAATTTTTTATTGATATAGTGGCATAAGGAGAGTAAGTGAAACAATGATCTTTCTTTTAAATCTTGCCACTTGTCTTTTTTTCAGCTCCCGATAAGCATGCAACTTCAGGGCCACCAGTTTTACCAAAAAGGCCTGTGACAAGAAGAGTGAGTTCTTTATTTCTTTCCTCTTCAATATTTACATTTGCGGTTTTATCACATGTATGTTTATGATTACAAGAAGATCTCTAATAAGAATGAAGTCAGAAGTTTTAACAATTTTGACCAATGCTATCAGGAAAAATAAATTTTTAAAAAATTCTTTACGTTCGTACAGAAGAACTAAGGCTAAACTAGGTGCTCCAAAGCCTCATATCAACGGTGTAAGTCGGCAATCACATAGCTCGATTTTTGTCGGTTTTGAGTTAGCTGCAGAAATGAAGTGTAGAAGATGCCCTTTACCTGCTATCAAAATATTTCAGTCGAAAAAAATCTGGAAGTCACCTAAAAACGTAGAACTTAAAACACATATCTCGGCGTTAATTCCAATAACACATAACTCGTGCCGTCGGCCGCATTTTTACACAACGCGCGCTCTCCCGGGAAGAACCGTGAGCAGTTTAGGAGGGAAAATTAGAAGTTAGTACGTCACAGAATCTTCAAACAACAAAAATATTATTATTGTTTTAACATCTAGCATCTAATCCGACGGATAACTGAGTAATCGTTCGTTTATTTTTATCTTCATTTCATTTTAATTTGTAATTCGACGGCGTAAATCCGCAATCACATAATTATCTTGTTCGCGGAGTCTGAAAATCTCCGCTTCTACGACACATTTGACATCATTCCTTGCAGTTTATACAGAATTTTCTTCGCAAAGAGAAGAAAACTCACGGCAGTTTTAAAGAATTGCCGTTGAGTAGTTTTCCGTTTAAAAAATGAAGTGTGACAGGAAGTCTGCGACATCGTAAACCGAGTTATGTGATTGCCGACTTACGCTGTTGAATCGTTTTCCAGTGTCATTCTGAAGATTCGCTACCAATTTAAGGTTGCTAAAAGGAACTTTAGGCTACTTTTAAAGTGAGAGGAGTCTTATTCAGTCAACATCGGCAAAGAATAGGTTTGAATCAGTAATGCGCCAATCACGTATCTTGGAATTCAGTGTTGGACCTTACTTCCACAAACACATAACTCGGTTTTTCGGTCATTTCTCCTGACAGACGAGAATATTATTCAAAATGATGATAGAGTCTTATAAGGCATCTTATCCTTGCTGTCTCTAAGAATTATTTCCCCTCTACCTTCAAAGATGAGGAATGTAGAGAGTTTTTTCCCTCTCCTGAAAAATCGCGTTTTCCGAGTTATGTGATTGCCGACTTGCACCGTCGATATGTAACTCTAAGTTTACAGCTGATACCTAAAGAACATTTTTCTTGGAAAAAAGAAAAAATTTGAACAAGGTATCAAAGACAACTGTAATTTGATTAATTGTTTTAAAACATTATTTCCAGAAATTATACCCTAAAACCATTGTAAGTGGAAGTTTCCAAAAAACTGTTTAAAGAGGAAAACATAAGGATTCCAAAGGGATGTCAGCGTAATGAGGACTGCTTATTAGAAATCCATTTTAAGCACATTCTGTTAAATCTAGATTTGGTACATTCCAACAAAACGGTTTGCCGATTATCAATTTGCGTAAATTTTTTCAGACCTTCATCTCAGATTGATAAACCTGAAATTCTGAGGATACTATCACAGCCTGAGTATTACACTCTCTTCATGAACTTTAATTCAAGCCTTATTTGATTTGTTGCAGGGATCAGAGTCTCTTGCTGAAAGTGATACTGACAGTTTTATTTTCCGTGACTCTGGATATTCAGATAATATTTCTTCGACCAACACATTCAATAACCTGTCTATCTCATCTCAATATGAAGAATTTATTCTGACTCCTCACACCGGCAATTCAAGTACCAATGTTGGAGTGAACGTCCCTCCTTCTACGCCGCCAGTTCCTCCCCCTCTACCTCCAAAATCTACTGTCGCATTTTCTGAAGATCATCAAGGTAAGTAACTTATATCATTCAACAATTTTTTTTGATCAAGAAAGCTCCGCAGGTACTTGAGTGCTCCAGTTCAGTGCAATGCTGTGTCCTAAGCATAAAAAGAAGAAGGAAATGTGTTCTTTTCGTTCTTTTGCCTTTTCTTCTCTTTCTTTCTTTGCCTTCTGCTCTCTCCTATTTCCTTCCTCTTCTCATGTTGACGACATCTATCATTTTAAGCCTCGAAGCCCTTCTGCAGAAAAATTTGTTGACTGCTGGCACAGGGGGAATAGTGTTGCCGTGACAGCAAAGAGAGCTGTAACTTTGGAATTTTTGAAATCGAGTTTCTTTCAAAATTTGTCTTATCTCTTTAATGGAAACACTGAAACAATTAAAATATCACAATTCGTCTTATTTTCAAGAAAACAAGACCTATGAGGAAGCTGTAATTGCGCAAAAATCAAGGTTTTTCCAGATAAAGCAACCATAAGGAGCATTATTCTGGCGTCCTTTTCTGTCAATTGATAACCTTAAAATTGTTCGCTGTGTGTCCGAAATGCAGCCAACAAAGCATGCAGAAGATAGCACTTACAGCTTTTTTGCCTAACATGAAAATAAAAAATACCCTTTAAATATGTTGTAACAAAATTCGTGAATTTCAGTCACCCGAACAATTTCTAAAAGCCTTTCAGGTAATAGGTGGCAATTTGAAGGAAAAAGGATCTTTCGGTAAAATTTTCTGCTCGGACGCTACTAAGTCCATTTTCTCGAAACTTCATTTTTGCACTCACGGCTCTCTTCTCTATCATGGCAGAGTGAGCGAGCGCATGGAGGTGTATACTTTGTCTGCTATAGAGATTTCTATGCAGATTATCTGCACTCTATCACTCATCTGAAATTTCCTCAGTTGCTTGACGCAACAAATGCAATGAAGAAGTGTGGTCTAAAGAGCCTCAGGCACCTGCAAAGCAAATGCAAGGGGATCCTCTGATCTACCTATGAAAGTGAGCTTGCTTACCCTAAATGGTTCACTGGAAAGTCAAAGTAGCCATAACCTCGGATTTAATAGAACACAATAAGTTCACAGAAGGCTTATTTCGCTAGGCTTCTTCCTAGTCCATAGCAGTAAAAGCAAATAATAAACTTTTCAACGTAATCTAATAAAAGCTCAAAGTTATAATTCGTATTTTAAAGAGCGACGCCAAGAATGGCACAATTTGGGCCAGCGGGGATTTTTCTGAAACCGGGCCCAAACGATACCTTATGATACCTTATGATACCCTAAAACTCTGGTAAGAATTTTAGCTTGAGTATATGCACGGTTTTTGAGAAATGAGGGGGCCAAGTTGCCAAATCGCCATCATTCTGGACAGCATTTCTACAGCAAAAAGACGGGGAAAATGGACGAAAAAGTTACACCTTTGATGGGTTTCGGCTGTAAATGTTCTCATTGGGCCCCCAAACATTTAACTGTGTTCAGTTTCAAAAATTTTGGTCGCACAGTGGTCCGAAATGGGGAGAAATCGTCGACAAATCAGGATTCTTTGTCAAATTTTTAGAAATGGAAGTAAAATTGTCGGTCTGCTGCAGTTTTCATGGCTAACAATGTTCTTATTGGTCATCAATGCATGAAATTGTGTTCAGCTTCAAAAATGTACATTGCACAGTGGTCATAAATGGGGGAATTAGTGGACAAATTAAGATCCTCTGTCAAACTTTTTAAGAATGAAGTGAAACTGTTGGTCCCCAGTAGACTTTAGATCCCGGAAAAATTCATGTTTTTAATTTTTTTAATTATTACTACATGTCAGACCGTATTGATTATAGAACGTTGTTATAGAATAGACTATGTAGCATTATCTCAAGAAAATATGCAAACTTTCAGAAATTTAAAAGAAAGGAGGAAAAATGGAGAAAAAAAATTAAAAAAGATTTAAATAGTCAAAAAAAGAATTTAAAGAATTTTGCCGGGATCTAAAGTCTACTGGGGACCAACAGTTTCACTTCATTTTTAAAAAGTTTGACAGAGGATCTTAATTTGTCCACTAATTCCCCCATTTTTGACCACTGTGCAATGTACATTTTTGAAGCTGAACACAATTTCATGCATTGATGACCAATAAGAACATTGTTAGCCATGAAAACTGCAGCAGACCGACAATTTTACTTCCATTTCTAAAAATTTGACAAAGAATCCTGATTTGTCGACGATTTCTCCCCATTCCGGACCACTGTGCGACCAAAATTTTTGAAACTGAACACAGTTAAATGTTTGGGGGCCCAATGAGAACATTTACAGCCGAAACCCATCAAAGGTGTAACTTTTTCCTCCATTTTCCCCGTCTTTTTGCTGTAGAAATGCTGTCCAGAATGATGGCGATTTGGCAACTTTGCCCCATCATTTCTCAAAAACCGTGCATATACTCAAGCTAAAATTCTTACCAGAGTTTTAGGGTATCATAAGGTATCGTTTGGGCCCGGTTTCAGAAAAATCCCCGCTGGCCCAAATTGTGCCATTCTTGGCGTCGCTCTTTAAAATACGAATTATAACTTTGAGCTTTTATTAGATTACGTTGAAAAGTTTATTATTTGCTTTTACTGCTATGGACTAGGAAGAAGCCTAGCGAAATAAGCCTTCTGTGAACTTATTGTGTTCTATTAAATCCGAGGTTATGGCTACTTTGACTTTCAAACAACGGCGACAAAAAACGGTCGTTTTTGGCGTCGCTCTTTGTTTTTGCAGTTCAGAATAATAGATTAATGCTTAAATGTGAATCTTGCATTTTATCTTCACCAATCTGTATAGGTCTCTTTTCGCTCAAATAATACAGTGCAACATATTAATCGAAGAGAATAGCAGAATCAGTTGACCTTTATCTCGACTCAGCCATAATACAAGTAAAAATTAATGCAACCAAGAAGATTTCTAGAAAAGAAGGAGCAAACTAACAAATAAGTTTTTATGAAAATATGTTCAAAGTTTTCATTTTTGTTTTTGGCCCTCCTGGGATAACTCAAATTGAAACTCTAAATATCTTTAGATCAAAGTCTACACATTTTGGAATAAACCATTGACCAAGACTGAAAGGAATTTTTTATAATTTTTCATAAGGCATAACTATGCCTCTTTCTGGAAATGGACCAGCTGTCATAGGTTTTAGTAATTAAAGCTGAATTTTCAATGGTATAAGCTTGTGTTAAAAGGCTTAATAAAAGAGAGCTCCTTATTTACCTACATCATTATGTAGTACCTATCACATCAAACAAGCTATTAAACGTGGAAATACTCACTATGCTTTTTGCGCACTCACTCTGGTTCCTGATCTATTTTAGTCAACAGTCTCAATTTTTCCTTTCAAAAAATAGCAAGCATCATCAACAACTATATTGAGTCATGACTGTATTGATAATTTTTAATAATTTCTAAGGGAACAGAGGTAACCCCACTAAGTTATTAAAAAGTAACTTTGTAACAAGTATTAACGAGTTTGATAAACTAACAGAAACCTCTAGTCCCCTTTATGAGGCTAGGACATGATTCTAAAGGCATAGTAAAGATTAGATGATTAGTTGTTTGAGTTCTGTTGTTACGAGTACAACACCAATCTACAGACTTAATGTAACTTTCTGTTTTTATTCCAGGTAATTTCCAGTCTTCCTCCACACTAAATCGTATAGCATCATCTGAAAACTACTCCGTGCCAAAACTTCAAAACAGTGATTCTACAAATGTCAAAGATCCTGCCTGAAGGGATGTTTGTCAATGATAAATCGGCCAATACAAGCTGAATCTCAAGCTGAAGCAATGAATTACAAGCTAATTTAGATGTTTTTTCTGCTATCTAGATGCCAGGAAATTCTTTCCAAGGATCTAAGGAATTTATTTTTATATGCTCAGATTTTATGTATGAAAAGAGGAATTAGTAATGAGCACCCAGGTTCAAAACTCAGGACCCTTCCTTTGGACTAGTTTGATAAAGGCATAAAATAAGAGTTGAAAAACATGGCCTCATTCGAGGAATACAAAGAAGATTCAAATTTTAGGCGCTGATTTTAATATGTACCGTGGAATCGTGATAAGGTGGATAAGTTCAGGAACGGCAGTTGTGTCCGACTTGGGCTAATCGTAAGTTCCAAAAATGCCGATTCCAGCATTAATCGGAATTTTCCAGGAAAAAGGCCTACGAAAAGTAATGTATCACAAATTTGTAAGTAGACATATTTAAGAGGTAATTTGCTGATCTTGGTTGATTGGAAAATCAGCGAGTTTCTTCTGGCTTTATGAAACCTGATCATGCATAAAGGCTGTGAAACACTGAGGGTAAAGCAAAGTTTTATTGATGAGGATGCTGTGCAACAGGAATGTTGTGTGAAAGTATGTGCTCAAAAGTACGCCTCCTAATAGCAAAACGTTGTCAGCAACTCTGGCAAATCCTGAAATTCTTTATGCATAAGAACAACAGGACCAGAGAAAAAATCCGAATTTCTGACTTGGTAAGCCGTGGCTTATCAAAATTCCACTTTACCTTTTAATTTTTCACTAGAGAAAAATTTTTGAGGTAGAAAACCCCTTTACAAACTCAAAATGAGAGGAGATGTGAATTTTTTAGATGTACATGTATTATATCAGTTTTAAAACGTCAACAATTAAAATTTTTTGTCAGGCAATTTTTTTTTCATACAGAAAAAATTTAATCATGTGAATAAGTTTTTCTATGCAAGAGGGAAGTCTCACAAATAATGATGCCTCAAAAGTTGCAGTGATAAGTTTTATTCATTTAGAAATCTTCATGGAGGTTTGCAACTTCAGTCGTCATTGAGGTTCAGTTCGAGAAAGACTTGAGAAAAGGACTTAAAACTGACAAATGCTTTCACCTGTTTCATTAAATCGGGGCAGTCTTCCATTATGAAAGCCTATTGACTTTGAAAAGCTCGTAAAATTATACAGATTTAAATGTCAATGGTTTGTTGCTCCTACTGCCACAACCTCCTTTCAAGGGAAAGTAATTCCTCTTTTATAAGGGATACATAAGTATATACTTCCTGCTTCTTTAACTTGAAGGGAAGTTTTTATTTTTGACAAAGGAAACATTAAATTACATATGTTAATTAATTAGATACGTCTAAAACTGGATCAGTGGATAGAAAATTGTGCCAAAAATTGCTTTTTCATTTACAATAAGGCTGAAAGCTGTTAGTTTAGGCTACAGACTCACAACCTGATAATAATTCGATGACAGCCTTTGTCAGAAAAACTTTATTATTATAAAGAAGCCTCAAAAAAATGTTCTATTCGCAACGTACAGTCTTTATTTTAAGTTTTTAAAAATTTGAATCGCCTGTAGGGGAGTGTAGCTTTTTACTTCTGACACCCTTCTACTAAATTTCATTAAACGCCTTAGTGTATTGCATTTATTTTACATTTATGTATTCGGTGACCAAAAACCAATACTGCTCCCGATCACAAGATAAAAAAAATTGATTCGAAATATGGTGGAAGAAAACAGGTGTAGAGTAGCAACTGCAGGAAAGCATCATGGAAAAAAGATGAGTCCTCAAGTTGTGATGTAGGGGTCAGATCTTCTCTCTCTTACATGATAACAGTCCTCATGCACAAAGCCTTCTCTTAAGAGCTGTGATGTTAGCGTCAAAAGAGCCAATCAGAAATGAGCTTGTTCCTTGTCCATACCTATTTTTCTTCTCCCATTACTCAAATGATTTTGTAATTGATTCACATTTACCAGTCACGCATTTGTTTCTACTTTAAGTTGTAATACTCTTTGTTTTTTACTTTTTTGCCATATTGAACCAAAGACTTGATAGATTTTATTTTTAGCTATAAAGTGTACTGTCTGCCATTGTGTAGAAGATCTTACATTTTTGCCATAAGGCTCTAATTTTTTAATCATTATTTTTTTTTTCAAAGAATCGATTTTTGAAAAATATAAAAGTAAAAATGTGCATGATAGGTACACAAAATTTGTATCCTAATTATTATTGGCAGTTTTTTTTGTACTGAGTAAATTAGTTTGTCCCTCTTTTTGACAACATGTGGATTCTGTTTCTTGTGCAGTGCATGAAAGAAGAGATGTATTTTGTTTGCCCCAGCAACAAGTCATTTGTGTTAGTTTTTCACAGCCAATGAGAGAGCAGCTGCCTAAAGTGAGGTTAGACATCCTGTTACAACCCTGCCGAAACATGCTTTGAGGACGTTCCGTCTGTTTCAAAGCAATGTTCCGAAAACGTTGCCAAATTGTGCAAAATAAATAAACAAATAAAAATAGGCCACCCCCTCAACATAAACAACATCCGAACAAAATACGGTTCTTACAAGATGTTCCGGATTGTTGCGTCAAATAAAATACATTTAACCGATGATTTTCCGATGATTGTGATTTTCTTCTCGACCGAACGTCAATCAAGTAATGTGCACACATCACCTATCGCGATGTAAATATGTTGACAGTTTTATACTTTTTTTCCATTTGTGACCAACAGTAAGAAAAAGATAAGAATATAAAAAATTCAATAATAACATTTTTTAAAACATGCTTCCAAAATCTCCTCTCCTACTTCTGCTTTTCTTCAAACCAAAATCTCCTATGCAGTTTAAAATTATTTTTCCAGTTTAAATTTTTGTTAACCTTTGTCTCTCAGTAAAAAAAAGGCACACTTCTATGTCAGACAAATGTTTGTACAGTAATTTTATATTTATGCATCTATATATTTTGTACCAGTCCTTACTTTCATATAATAGTCAATTCTTCTTTTCTATTTTGTATCTCCTGTCAGATGTAATAATTTTTGTACCAGATAAATTTTTTTCTTTATGTATGTGTAATAACTTTGATAATTTTTCTCCGCAAGTCTCCCAATGATTACTTTAAAAGATAAATTTACAGCAGACTAGTTAGCACCCTATTTTAGGGAAATTCGGGATTTTCCTTGCAAAATAGGCTTTTTGAGGGAGAACTTAGTTTCCCAGAAAAGTGGTTCAGGATAGAGGAATGAGAGTTTATTTTCGGATTCAGCAGTAACAGCTCATAGGAACGCATGTATTGTATGCTTGAAAATTTTTTCTGCTGTTTGAGATGCCAAAGTTTTTCCGGTCAAATGGCTTAATTGGATTACATTTTGCAATTAGGAACTATAAAGTCAGACCTGGTTTAAAAACAACGTATGTGCCATTAGTTTCCCTATGCACTTAAGTGTTTTTTTAAATGAGCCAGAATTTTTAAGTCCAAATTCCAAAATGCAGTCCAATTCATTCTAGTAAAACTACTATGTGACCGCATTTTGTAATTAGGAATTACAGTACCCGCCTCACTTTGGAAACGACTTAACGGCCATTAGATTTTTGCAGTTAGTTTTTTTCATGTAAATAAGTACTTTAACTAATGGGTCCGAAATTGTAGTTCTGCATTGCAAAATGAAGTCTGTTTGATTCCAGTGCTTGCTGCGGCACATACACTGATTTTGCGATGCAGAATCCGAAAATGATCCCAACTTTTTCCCAGTCACCCACCGATCTTCTTAAAAAAGAAAAGGCATTTTCCAGTTGGATTTCCTTAACATTGGACGTATTTCTGTCAAATGGAACTATGTGCATTATGACATGAGCCCTGTTACGCATACATTCTTATGGGTCTCAGAGCTCATGTCTTAATACACATAGTTCCGTTTGACAGAAATACGTCCAATTGGTGAATAATGGAAAAAGACATATGTTATTTTCGGCTTCAATATCAAAAAAGTAAGTGGTAATAGCATCGTTACATACATGGGTGAAATTGTTTTCCTGTTCTGTTTCCGAATTTTCTGACGTAAAACAATTGGATCAGTTTTACAAGGGGGTGCAAGTGTTGATGAAAGAGGAAAATCAAGATTGACAATTGAAAACAACAAATTCTTTCAAACATTATGATTTAGTAAAAAAATAAACACAATTTCCAGTCATGAAAACTTGGTAAAAACAAAATTATAATCTAAAATCACAGTGCATTAAGGAAAAGAAATTTCAAATTTGTAGGAGCCATTAGACATGTTGGGGGAAAAGGCGCCTTTCAGAGAAAATGGAGAATGACAGGTACACTGTCGGGCACCGGCACCTACACAGCTCAAAAAAGATTACATTTTTCACATGAGGAACTTATATTTCTGACTCATCCATAAAACATGAAAATATGAATGCACAAATACTTAAAATATCTGCATGAGAAGACTATTAACTTGTACAAGCTCTAAAATGAGTCAGAAGTAGTAGTTCCTCATTGCAAAATGTAATCCAAATCATGTTCAAAGCATTAGAAAATATAATCTTAATGCACTTTGTGTAACATGTCAACACATTAACAAAACCATTAGCTAATTCTCACGAGTCATACACCAAGACCTGACACCTTCCTAGTATTACGTGCTCTGCTCTGTTAGTGGCATCGGCTGTTGTCATTGACATAATGAGAAAGACATACAAAATGCTTGCATATAAAATAGCTGGCACAGTCATTTTACTGGTTTCTAAACCACAAAAACTAAAATCTAGCTAGCAGATGCCACTTAGAAAACCCGTATCAGAGTGACAAATTCCCTTAAATTTAAAAATTATCTGACTTTTTCTTGAATTCAAGATTTTACACCAAAGAAAAAAAATGTTCAGACTTTCCACTAATTCTTCAAGGATGTTGAGCATGGAAATTCTTTTGATGAGATAAATCAGATGCTTCGAAACAGGTTTTGAGAATTGCTCTGATCTTTAAAGATAACCACCACTGAACGGCAAACTCCTGTTGATAGTTAGTTGCATGTGATCAGTTCAAGATACTGTAGTTGGTCATGGTGCTACTCTCTTTCTTAACATGATGAAAAAGAATGTAAGTAGGTAGCTCTCGAGGTATCTAGATTAAAGTTACTTTAAATGTGGCTAAAGATGCTCTCCCATACCTTTGATGACCTTTACTTGAACTCCAACTTACTGTTGAACCTTTACTTGACCTTCTTAATTAATTCATGTTATTGACTTTTAAATAAGTATGCAAATACCTAAAATATGTTCCATTACTTTTACTCTTTCATACTTAATTTTTCGTTTATAATTTTCCGTTTTTCGTTTTTCATTTTTCATTGTAGAAAAGTGGACGCAGTCCAGGTTGCAATCTTTAAGAACATGGTTGGTGAAGAAGCTTGCGAATTTTTGAACACTTTAAACCTCTCCGAAGCACGAAAATCCCAAGTTTCTAGCATAATACAAGCTGATTCTTACATCAAACCATAGAAAATTCTCCTGTATTCGCGGTTTTTTATCAACACTCGCTGTCAACAAGAGTCGAAGAATTCGAAGCTTTCTTTCTTTTGGTTAAAAAGTTAGCTGACAATTGTGATTTTGGTACCCTTAAATCGGAACTCATTCGAGACAGGTTAGTGGTTGGAATCAACAGCAAAACTGTGCAGGGAAGGCTCCTTGGTAAAGAATTTGATCTGGACAAAGTGGTCAAAATCTGTCGATATATGGAAACAGGAAATCAGAGAGCAGAGGAAGTATCCAATGGCAATCATGTCCACTATATCATGTATCAACCCAGACTCAACTCTAGTAAGCAGCGTTACAACTTTGACAACCATGGTCAGAAGTCTGCAAGTACAGCCAACCAAGGAAAGAGTAGCTCGACTCAACCCCGATATAAATTCCCTATTACATTGGGAGTCCAAAATATCCTACTTTAATTCATTCATTACTGCTGCTGATATTATGAAATATGCAGCAGGAGTCCCCCCCCCCTCCTCACCGCGAGATGCACTCCCGTCCAATGCACCTGCGCTGTGAACCTTGATCTTACTGCGTGTACTATCAGATCCTTACTTTTCGCGTGATAGCAGCCCACTGAATGAATCTGATCACTGTGTATGTTATCTTGATGCTGTTGATCGAGCAAAGTTATTTGTGCGATGTGCCTGTTGAAAAACTGATCGATTAGAATCAGTTGACATCATAGATGACCAGCCCTTAGTACGGTCCCGGTTTGTCCCCTACCTTTGTGCGAAATAATTGAAAATTTTTACATTTTTTACAAGCTTTCTGTCATAACATGGGGTTATGTCACAAAAGAACTCATGACGATAATCGCATTTCCCTATGTTTACTGGAGATTTAGAGTAATCAACGAAACTCTTCAGAGAAAAATTCGGAATTTAGTGCCAGCATGAAATCCGGAGAACGAGTGTTTGCTCCGTGTAATATGCAACACGAGCATGACTAACATTTATCGCGGTAATAAAATCGAGTAGCAGCCAGATTTCTCAAGTTTCTTCCTAAAAATCAAAACTAGATCACAACTTATCGGTGAAAATGTTCCGTGCGATTGCCATCTTTGTAGTCTTGCAAGGTTGCCACCCGATGCAAATTTTTCCAAAATGGCAAATGCTTAACGGATGAGTCCTGTTCCAAAGTTTTTCCTGCTAACTCAGCAATCGAATCTCTCAGGTGTGGGACGCGTTGTGAAGGGAGGCAAAATCGAAAGACGGTACAGTACATGTCTCACCACTCTGAAACGAGGAGTCCAGCACAGATGCAACAAATCATCGTTGTTGAGGAACATTTTAACAGCACTTAATGATGCCTCCGGTGCAAAAAGTAAACAACAGTTAACTGCCCGGCTTCTGAAGGAAATACAGGAGGAAAAACCCAAAGATGATAATTCATTACAAAAACCAGTCTTTCTCACACAATTAAAAGCTAAACCTCTGAAAATTGAGATAAAAACAAGGAGATCTTCCTCAAGGAAAAAAAACGTTATTGAAAGTCAAAAGATTTTTTGACAATTCAAACGTCCTTAAATCTGAGTAGTAGAGGCATTGAAGGAGTAGCCACTGCTATTCGAACTACAACAAAAAACAGAAAAGTTGTAGAAAGTAACTTGAAACTGAAGCACCTAACCCATCAGGTCGATAATTTTGTGGACGTTGATGAAATGCAATTCATTCATATGAAAAAAGACTCAGAAGTAGCATGTCCTGATCCGTTGGTTCATTTTAAAGACCTGCAGAGTTTCCTAGACTTCATAAAAGATAAACGCGAATTGACCTCCGTGCGCTTAAAATTTGGAATTGGTGCAGGAAAGGGATTTTTAAAAGTATCGTATCTATACTTCCTGAGGAAAATGAAAGAAACAGTTCGGAGGAACACATGAAAAAACAGCAACCATACAAGAATGGAATCCAAGGTAAAAAATTCAGGGCCTCAGGAGTGAAGAAAAAAAGCTTTGATCCTAGCCATCGCCCTACATATGCAAGAAAATTACGAAGATATCTCCATTTTATGGAGAAAATTGTCAATAAGTAGTTTCGATGGAACCATTACCGCAGATCTTAAACTGGCAAATATTTTGGTTGGAATTATGTTGCATTCTTCAAGTCATCCATGCACTTGGTGTGAAGCCGACAAAACAAGGTTGCATGAATCAGAGGCATATAGAACAATGGGTAGTTGTATGCACAATTATTCACAGTGGGTTGAATGGGTGCAAAGAGGAAAGATGCCAAGAAATTTCAAAACTGCGTTCATCCTCGAATTTTCAATGCTTATGAGGATTTTCTGATCATTAATCTCATTCGTCCTCTAGAGCTACATCTCTTGGTGGGAACAGTAAACACGATTTACAATCATATGTATCAGGAGTTCTAAGAAGATGCAGAAAGATGGTCAAAAAATTGTCATGTCAATCGCGCGATGACACATGGCTTGCCAGCATTCAATGGAAATTCTTGCAATATCCTTCTTCAAAAAGTTGATATTTTGAGGCGAGATTCACTTGGTTGTTTAAAGTACGTAGAAGTCGTACAGAGGTT